GTTCCTTGTTCAGAATCTCCTGTTCCCAAAAGCCATATCTCAGAAGGAGGAGCCGCATGGGTCAAGGATCTGCAAGATTTGGAGGAAAGGAAAATCCCTGCCAGCCTCAGCACAGGTGTGTGGTGTTGTGGGAATTCTCTGGTAGCACCTTGAAATTAGTAGGATTGAAGGGATGGGGAAATCCAGCTCAGCTCTGCTTTTTTTTTTTTACCTAAAACTTAGGGGTTTTGTCCAGAAGCAGCAAATCGGGAATTGTTGTTCTTTGGAGATTTTTCTGTCACATAAGTTACAGGGAATGTTTGGAATCTCCTTGTTCCAGGCCATGGTGGTGCCATGACCCAGGGATCATCCTCAGGATCATCCCAAGCCCCGCACCACCACTGCTCTGACCTGGCAGAAACATCGCGGACCTGCCACAATCCAGCACCAAATCCCATGACAATCAGGAGCGGTAACAAAGTCCTGGCAGGGCAGGAGCTGGATGAGTTCAGGCGGTTCCTGCTGTACCACCAGGGCCAGCCCGAGGACGTGGCAGTGCCGTGGTTCATCTGCAGCGAGTGCGGCAGGAGCTTTGCCCACCATGCGTACCTGCTGCGGCACCGGCGCGCCCACACCGGGCAGCCCAGGAGAAACCCAACTGCTTCCTGGAGAAACCCAACTGCTTCCTGGAGAAACCTTCCTGCTTCCTAAAGAAACCTGCCTGCTTCCTGGAGAAACCTTCCTGCTTCCTGGAGAAACCCAACTGCTTCCTGGAGAAACCCAACTGCTTCCTGGAGAAACCTGCCTGCTTCCTAAAGAAACCTGCCTGCTTCCTGGAGAAACCTTCCTGCTTCCTGGAGAAACCTGCCTCCTTCCTGAAGAAACCTGCCTGCTTCCTGAAGAAACCTTCCTGCTTCCTGGAGAAACCTTCCTGCTTCCTGAAGAAACCCAACTGCTTCCTGAAGAAACCCAACTGCTTCCTAAAGAAACCTGCCTGCTTCCTGAAGAAACCTTCCTGCTTCCTGGAGAAACCTTCCTGCTTCCTGGAGAAACCTGCCTCCTTCCTGAAGAAACCTGCCTGCTTCCTGAAGAAACCTGCCTGCTTCCTGAAGAAACCTTCCTGCTTCCTGAAGAAACCTTCCTGCTTCCTGGAGAAACCCAACTGCTTCCTGAAGAAACCTGCCTGCTTCCTGGAGAAACCTTCCTGCTTCCTGGAGAAACCTGCCTCCTTCCTGAAGAAACCTGCCTGCTTCCTGAAGAAACCCAACTGCTTCCTGAAGAAACCCAACTGCTTCCTGAAGAAACTTTCCTGCTTCCTGAAGAAACCTTCCTGCTTCCTGGAGAAACCTTCCTGCTTCCTGGAGAAACCCAACTGCTTCCTGAAGAAACCCTCCTGCTTCCTGGAGAAACCTTCCTGCTTCCTGGAGAAACCCAACTGCTTCCTGGAGAAACCTTCCTGCTTCCCTGAGAAACCCTTCTGCTTCCCAGAGAACCCCCCCCCCCCCTTATTCCTGGAGCAACCCACCTGATACCCGGAGAAACCCACCTATTTCCTGAAGAAACCGTCCTTATTCATGGAGAAACCTGCCTGCTTCTTGAAGAAATCCTCCTTATTCCTGGAGAAACCCGCCTATTTCCTGAAGAAACCCTCCTTCTTCCTGAAGAAACCATCCTGCTTCCTGAAGAAACCCTCCTGCTTGCTGAAGAAACCCTCCTGCTTCCTGGAGAAACTCTCCTACTTCCTGGAGAAACTCTCCTCCTTCCTGGAGAAACTCTCCTACTTCCTGGAGAAACTCTCCTTTTTCCTGGAGAAACCCATCTGCATCTTGGGGAAACGCTTCTGCCTCCCAGAGGAACTCTTCTGCTTCCTGGAGAAACCCTTCTGCTTCCCAGAGAAACCCTTCTGCTTCCTGGAGAAGCCCACCCTCCACAGCCCCCTCAGAGTCCATCTCACCATGTGCCACAGGCCTGCCTAGGGTAGAGCTTTGTAGTCAGCTGTCAAAAATCCTGCTCTGCCCAGAGCTGGGGCTTTATAGTTCTCCGTGGGTTAGAGTAGATTCTGGGGATAAGGCAGTTTTCCCACTTTCCAAACTCTAGTTTGAAAGCTAACCAGTGGGAGATCCCAAGTCAGAACTACTAATTTAATAGGACAATTAGAATAAAATGCAGTAGTACAAAACCACTGACAGAGTCAGGGTACAGCCTGGCACCCTGTGGGTCAGGGTGTTGGCAGCAGCCTGGTTCAGTGGTGGCTCAACCCTCCTGCAGTGCCAGCTGTGGTTCTGTCGGAGCAGGGATCCTGCACAAGGGTGGAGTTTTCCTCTGAAAAAAAATCTTTCTTCCAGTGGTGGTGTAGATGAGCCTGGTCTGCCTCTGGGAATGCAGTGGAGAAGGAAACTGCTCCTCTGGGAATCCAGTGGAAGAGGCTGCTGTGGTGTTCCAGACCTCAGATTTTATGCAGTTCGGAATGCTTGGCTCCTCCCCCTGGGCAGAGCATCTCCCAATGGGATGATGGGATTTTATCAGCCGTGCAGGGACACTCAATGGCCCATTAGCAGAAGATATCTCCCTGGACAAAGGATGGGTCCTGGAAGAGATAAAGAACACTGCCCCACCTGGCTTTAACACCTGGTGATAGAGTGCATTTGGTTACATCTTGCATTGCAACCTAAGACATGAATCAAGTTCTGACTCAATTTGCTGCTGCCCTGTCAGTGATCAGGACCTGGATCATTCCTGTCATTCTTACCATGCTCCATCCAGCTCCTCCTTGGAGCAGGAGTAGGATAGAGCAGCATTGGCTGTACCAAAAGGGACATTAAAAAAGCCTGGTGGACCAAACAACACGTGCTGGAGAGCATCCAGAGTGCCACAGAGAAACAGTAGAAGTTTCCAGGGATGAAAAATGAAGAATTGGGAACGGGATTGTAAACTGATGTTTGAAGCAACCAGTTCCTGGCATTATTTCCCCACTTTAGCTGCTCTCCCATTACTGTACCCGTAGAACTAACTCTGGTTTTGGATTCTATTTTTATATTGACCCCATGTTTTCCTGTGGGCTGAGATACTGCTTTGGTTTCTGAAATTCTGGGGGAAAAACCCCATGGGTATATTCTAAATGTGTGTACAGTGTGTTGGTGATGTTCCTCTGGGAAGTGGAAATGCAGCAGGGAGAAGGGTGGAGGAGAGGAGCCAGGAGGCAGCACATGCAGATTTTGTGTTTTCTCCCCACGTGCTGGTGGTTTTCAGCATTTTTGAATATTCCAGTTGCGTGCCAAGAGGGAAAATGTGTTGCCTCCAGTTGGAGGGGTGTCCTCAGTCAAAGACTCCAGCTGGAATGAAGTCTCCAGGCTCAGCAGCCCCTGAGGAGCAGCAGAGAACACCCAGCTGGTGCTGTGCTGCAGTTCCAGGAGTTCTGAGCAGGACTGGGAAAGTACACTTGGCCCCAAATCATCCTGCCCACCCCAGGTACAGGAATAATGTCCCAAAAACCTTTTGGCACTGGCTTGTCATTGTTTCCTTCTTCATAAGTGAAGTCCTGGGGTTGGCTTTGCTTTTATTCCTCATAGAATCCCAGAATGGTTTGGATTGGAAGGGATGTTAAGGATCATTCAGTGCCACCCCTGGCATGGCAGGGACACCTCCCACTGTCCCAGGCTGCTCCAAGCCCTGTCCAGCCTGGCCTGGGGCACTGCCAGGGATCCAGGGGCAGCCACAGCTGCTCTGGGCACCCTATGCCAGGGCCTGCCCACCCTCTCAGGGAACAATTCCTTCCCACTGTCCCATCCATCCCTGCCCTCTGGCAGTGGGAGCCATTCTCTGTGTCCTGTCCCTCCATCCCTTGTCCCCAGTCCCTCTCCAGGCTGGGATGTGGTTTTCCATCCTGCACATCCTGCACTGCTCCCAGCCCTCAGAGGAGGGGATGTGTCCTGGACTGGGATACAGCTCCATTCCCACAGAGGGCATGGTTCCTTTGTCTCCTGAGCCCTGGATCCCGTGGGATGTGTCCTGGACTGGGATACAGCTCCATTCCCACAGAGGGGATGGTTCCTTTGTCTCCTGAGCCCTGGATCCCGTGGGATGTGTCCTGGACTGGGATACAGCTCCATTCCCACAGAGGGGATGGTTCCTTTGTCTCCTGAGCCCGGGATCCCGTGGGATGCTCCAGCCCCCAGCACCCCTCACTCCTGAGGGGGCAGAGCTGCTGTGTCAGACTCAGCTTCTACTCCCCACTGCCACAAGGAGTGGGATCTCCAGCAGGTGCTGTCCTGGGATCAAAGCTTCTGAACTGATATTCCCAGGGAAATATCACCTGTGTGGTAAGAGATGTTTGGAAAATTTGGGGAATAAACCAAGCAAACCATGTCTGTGCTGGCAGCAGGTGAATCCATGGCTGAGATGAAGAAACGTCAGAGGCTGAGGGAGCTGGAAGGGCTCAGCCTGGAGCAAAGGGGGCTCAGGGGGGACCTTGTGGCTCTGCACAACTCCTGACAGGAGGGGACAGCCAGGGGGGGCCGGGCTCTGCTCCCGGGGAACAGGGACAGGAAAATTGGAAATGGACTCATATTTGGATTGGATATTGGAGAAAACATCTTCATGAAAATGGCTCAGCCCTGGGGCCATGGGGCAGGGCCTGGGGGGCCTGGGGTGTCCCAGCTGGGGCACAGGGTGCTGGAGGGGACAGGGAGCAATGACATCCTGGAGGGAAATGGCTGCTCAGGCTCCCGTGATGCTGCTCAGCCCATTAACCCTTCTTGTGCCATTGCCCTCCCTCCGGGGCCGGGGTCACTCCCTGTCCAGCCCAGGGGAGCCCTGATATGGCCCATCCATACGGATCCTGGAACACCGAGGCACTGGAGGAGCTTTTCCCGGGATAATCCCAGGAAGGTGGGACTGTAGCGCTTTTCTGTGGCCTGGCCCCAGCCCCAGCACTGGTAAAACGAAAGGTTCCAGGGTCAGGATGAGCACACGGGGTGGCTCCCAAACCCAGAATGTCTCCTCACAAGGGTTTTCTGGCCAGGATGGGGGTCCTGGTGTGGGTGCTCATGTCCTTTTCCCCCACAGCTCCTGGCCCTCGGTGCCACCCAAATCGGTGTTCCCAGGACCCAAACCAGTCCAATGTCCCCCACGCTCGTGTCAGCCTCGGTGCTGATCTCATGCAGAGGCTGGTGCTGGTGGCAGAGCCGATACCGATTCCCACAGTGGTGCCGGTGCCGGTGGCAGAGGTGGAGGTGCCAGTGCAAGTGCTGGTGGCCGCTGTCGTGGTGGAGCCATTGCCGGTGCCAGCAGACTGTGGCAGTGCCAGTCCCGGTGCGGTAGCGGGGCCGCTCCCGGCAGGCGGTGGCGGTACCGGGGCCGCGCCGGTGGCGGAGCCGCTCCCGGTGCCGGTAGGCGGCAGTGCTCGGCGCTCCGCGCTGCCGCCGCTCCCCGCCCGCTGCCGCCCAGCCCGGAGGAGGCGGATGCGATTCCCCGGCTGCCCGTGGCTGCTCGGCGGGGCGGCGGGGCCCGGCCCGTGCGCAGGCACCGACAGCGGCCCCGGCCCCGCTCCCGGCCCCGGCCCCGGCCCGGCCCCGCTCCGCTCTCGCCGCCGCCGCCGCCCGGCCCCAGCCCCAGCCCCGGCCGCGGCCGCCGGGGCCCGGCCCAGCTCCGCGGGGCCATGGCCGAGTGGGCGCCCGCCCAGGTAAGCGCGGCCCGGGGCACCGGCACCGGGAACCGGCCGCAGGCGGCGCCGCCCCGCCCGCCGCGCTCCCGCCGCTGCCCGGCCCGGCCGGGACCCTCCGGCACCCCCGGCCCGCGGGGCCCCCGCCGCCTCCGGGGACTGGACCCGCGGTGGCCCCGGTGCCCCGGGACGTGGCTGAGCAGCCCCGCCCCGGGATGTCCATGCGTCCCCGGGATGCGCCGGGCACTGCTGACCCGGGATGTCCACGTGCCCTCGGGATGCCCCGGGGTGCCCCGGGATGTCCCCAGGGACGCGACCCGCGATGGCCCCGGTGCTCCCGGGATGCCCCGCTGACCCGGGATGCCCGGGTGTTCCCAGCGTGTCCCCAGGCACCTCTGCCCCGGGATATCCCCGTGCCCCCGGGATGCCCTGGGATGGCCCAGGGTGCCCCGGAATGCTCTGAGCAGGCTTCAGCCCAGGATGCCCCAGGCACCTCTGTCCTGGCATGCCCCTTTATGTCCCCAAGGTGTCCCTGGACATCCCTGGTCCACTCTTGCCCTTGCTGCTTCCTGCCCACCCAGCCCCATCCTCCTCCCGGGTGGGTTCCAGCCCGGGCAGACCCAGGAATGGCTCCCAAGGGATTGGGGTGACAAGTTGGCAGGGGGGCACCATGATGACCTGCCTGGCAAGTGTTCCATGGGGACAGGGATGGACACTGACCCCACAGCCACCCTAGACTGCCACTCACTGTCCCCTCAGGCTGGTGGGCATCGCACACAGGGGTCCCCTGCAGTTCTGGGGCTGCTGGTGCCCAAAAGCCCTGGAAACGGGGAGCAGAGGCTCTAGGGGGTGACCGTGGGCCTCCTCCCACTCGTGCCCTCCCGGTGGCCCAGGTGCAGGAGTGGAACATGGAGGCCCCTCACCTGATGCCGCTGCAGCCGCCACTGCTGCCGGAGCGGGCGCACGTGCGGGAGGCGCAGCTCCACTCTGCAGAGGCCTCGCTCTGGACCGTGGTGGCCACGGTGCAGGCCATGGAGAGGAAGATTGATCTCCTGGCCACCCGCCTGCTCAGCCTGGAGGGCCGCTCCGGCACGGCCGAGAAGAAGCTGCTGGACTGCGAGAAGACGGCCATGGAATTTGGGAACCAGCTGGAGAGCAAGTGGGCCGTGCTGGGCACCCTCATCCAGGAGTACGGGCTGCTCCAGCGGCGCCTGGAGAACGTGGAGAACCTCCTGAAGAACAGGAACTTCTGGGTGCTGCGGCTGCCCCCCGGCCCCCGGGGCGAGGTCCCCAAGGTAGAGTGTCCCTGGGGGCTGCAGGACAGTGGGGGGACCCTTGGTGTCCCTGGGGAGCGGGCGCCGCTGAGCCAGGGGGTCTTGTTCCCACAGGTGCCAGTGACATTTGTTGACATCGCCGTCTACTTCTCAGCGGAGGAGTGGAAGAACCTGGAGGAGTGGCAGAAAGAGCTGTACAACAACCTGGTGAAGGAGAACTATGAGGCTTTGCTGTCCCTGGGTAAATGTCCCTTTTCCCCCTCTCCTGACAGGATGGAGCGATGGCTGTGTCTCCTCAGTGGGTCCCCAATGTGGGTGGCCTGGTCCCCTGTCAGTGGTTGGTGGTGGCACTTGCTGTGTCCTGGGACCATTCCAGAGGGAATGCTCCATGGCTCATGCTGTGTGTGGGGACAGGGTGACACACCATGCCATGCCAGTGCTGCCATGGTGCTGCCCAGGGGGCTGGAGAGGGTCCTTGTCCCCCAGAACCCAGGACCTGAGTGTCCACACTACCTCCAGCATGGAGGTGCTGTGGGATTTAGGCACCTTTGCCAGGAGGGACGCCAGGTCCTGGCAGCCTGGTGTGTCCCCATAGTGTCCCCCAAAGCCTGGCTGACAGGGAGGGGGTGACAGGCACGGGTGACATCGGTCTGTGTCCCTGGCAGATGGGGCCCTCTCCAGAAGCGAGGCCCAGCCCCGCAGCGAGCGTGGGGACGGGCCCTGTGTCCCTGAGCAGCGGGAGCTGGAGCAGAGGGAGCTGCCACCGGACACCTGCGCGGGTGAGACACCGCGGGAGGACCCATCCCAATGTCCCCACTGTCCCCAGTGTCCCCACTATCCCCACCCTCCTCACCAGGGATGCCCCTCCTCCCTCCCAAACAGTCCCATCCCCACTGAGCCCAGTTCCCCAGCTGTGACTGAGAGCTGCCGTGAGTGACCCCAGAAAATTCATGACTGTTGTGCTGGAGATCTTGGATACCCATCACTGGGAGATCCATGTGTCCCCTGGTGCCACCGCGTTGTGTCAGGGCCCATGGGCTGTGTCACAGTCACCCAGCCCCATCAGCTGTGCCATTGTCACCTGTTCCCAATGGGCTCTGCCACAGTCATCTGTTCCCAGGGGTTGTGCCTGTCCCCAAGGGTCACCCAACCCCATGGGCCATCTCAGTGGCACCCATCACCAAAGGCTGTCCCACAGCCACCTGTCCCCACAGCTCCCTGGGGCTGTTGGATGTCCATAACTGCTGTGGGATGGGGGTGTCCCCTGAGGCCGGAGTCCGGGGGTCACACCCCAGGTGTGGTGGCCGTGGGTCACACGTGTGGCTCCATCCCGGCCCTGGCCAAGTCTCTCCTTGTGAACAGAGTCGCTGATCTCCACCTCCGACATCCTGTCCCGGATCAAGCAGGAGGTGGCCTTCGTGGGGGAGCAGCAGTTCCCGGAGGAGCGGGGGATGCCGCCAGACCCCTGTGCAGGTGAGCCCGGCGCTGAGCCTGCCCCCAGTGGAGCCGTTCCCTCCCGTGCCTCCCGGAGCAGGGCCTGAGTCCCTGTCCCCGTCCCTGTCCCTCCCTGCAGGCGCGGACGCCCTGATCACCGCGCACGACTTCTTGTCGTGGATCAAGCAGGAGGAAGAGCCCTGTGTCCGGGAGCCCTGGGAGCTGCCCGAGAGGGAGATGCTTCCCCCGGGGCCTGGTCCTGGTGAGCGATCCCCGCCACGGGGCTGGGGTGGGGGGAGCACCCCCGCAGGGCGAGCTGTGACTTGGGGACATCCCCAGGGTCCCCGGTAGGACTGACCGGTCTCTCTGTCCCCTGCAGCCAGCGAGGGGCTGCTGGTGAAGACGGAGGAGCGGTGCCCGCACGCCGAGCCCCCCGAGGAGGTGGGTTTGCCGGGCGGCTCCGGGGAGCTGCTCTTCCCCGGCACGGCCTTCGGGACCCCCGAGGGACAGGCGGCGGTGCCGGCCGCGGTGGCTCTGCCGGCGCAGCACAGACTGGGCAAAGCTCCGGGCCCCGAGCCGGGCCCGGGGGCCGATGCCGGGGGCGTCCCCGCGGCGCCGCCGGGCCCCGCCGAGGAGCGGCCGCACGGCTGCGCCGAGTGCGGGAAGAGCTTCAGCGGCAAGAAGAGCCTGCGGATCCACCAGCGCAGCCACGCGGCCGAGCGGCCCTACCCGTGCGCCGAGTGCGGCAAGAGCTTCAATTGCCACTCGGGGCTGGTGCGGCACCAGATGATCCATCGCGGAGAGCGGCCCTACAAGTGCTCCGAGTGCGGCAAGTGCTACAGCCGCAAGGAACACCTGCAGAACCACCAGCGCCTGCACACCGGGGAGCGCCCCTTCGCCTGCGCCCAGTGCGGCAAGAGCTTCATCCGCAAGCAGAACCTGCTCAAGCACCAGCGCATCCACACCGGGGAGCGCCCGTACCAGTGCCCCGCCTGCGGCCGCAGCTTCCGCTACAAGGAATCGCTCAAGGATCACCAGCGGGTCCACGGCGCCGAGGCGGGGCCGCCGCCGCTGCCGCCGCCCGGGATCCTGCCCCCCGGGGACTAGGGGCCGCCCCGGCGCGGACTGCCACCCCCCGGCACGGGGACAGCCCCCGGCCACGCCGCTTCCGACCGAGCCGGGGTGCCCGGCCGGGGCGGGGGGCAGGCGGGGAGCCCCGGGGCGGGAACGAGCCTCCCCCGCCACGGACGGACGCTTCAGCCCCCGCGCTCCCCCCACGGCCAATGTCGCCGCTCGGGGTGGGGGGCAGCCCCTCGCCGTGTCCCCCCGCGCCACCCCCGCCTGCCGCTCTGTCCCCTCGCCCCCGCTGCTTATTTTTACTGCCCCCCCCGCGCCGTCCCGCTGTACAGTGCTTGGGGTGTAGTTTTGTATGGACGAAGCGATACGGAATAAAGTCGTGCTGGGCTGCAGAGCCTTCAGCGGCCCCGCCGCGGGTCCCCCGTGCTCTGTGGCTGCACTCCCGCCCTGTCCCCGGGCTCCCGCGCCCTGGGAAGGCAGCGGCAGCAGGATGGGAAAGTGGGAATGTCCCGCTGGGACACGGGGTAGTGGGAATGGGTTGTGGGTTCGGAGGTGTGGCGGCTCAGGAGGTCCCTGTGTCACCGGCTGCGGTGGCCTCGTGCTGGTGGGCTGTGTGGAGACCACCACTCCTGTCACCAACCCACCCCTGGGTCCTTCCTGTCCTCTGTCCTTGCTCCATCCCCAGGTCCCTCCTACCCCTGATTTGGGGGTAGGAGCTATTTCACACAATTCTTTCCCCACAGAATCCAGGGCCTTTCCTCAGGCACGCCAGGGGCCCCAAGCTGGGTGTCACCATCCTCCTGGGAGGCCACCACCAGAGCTGGGTGACCCTGCAAATGCCACAGCCCCTGCTGCCCCACTGTCCCCTCCCTGGGGCTGCACCCTCCTGTCCCACCCCACCAGGACATGGCAGTCAAGGGGTCCTGGATGCTGGGGGGCTGGAAGAGGGGACAGCACAGGGGACACACACAGCACAGAGGGTTCAGCAGTGCTGTCACCCTGATGTGGGCTGGAGATGGAGGCGGGAGACAGTGCTGGGGTGCCCTGGGGACACTGCACTTGCTGTGGGGACACTACCCCTGCCATGGGGACCTCAGACATTCCCTGGGGACCCTGCACACTGTCCAGGGACCTTGGGCATTCCCTGGGGACCTTACACACTGTCCAGGGACCCTGCACACTGCTGGGGACACTGCACCTTGTCTGGAGACCCCAAATGCTGCTGGGGACCTTGGACACTTCCTGGCAATCCTGCACACGCTCTGGGAACACTGCACAAAGCTTGGGGACCCTGCCCACTCCCTGGGGACACTGCACACTGCCCAAGGGGCCTTGCATGATGTCAGGAACCTTCCACACTCCCTGGAGACACTGGACAGTGCTGGGAACCTTGGACACTCCCTCGGGACACTGCACATTCTGGAACCTGTCAGGCTGCCTGGGCCCTGCACACTCCCGGGGACCTCTGAACCTGCTGAGGACACTGCACACTACCTGGGGACACTTCACACTACCTGAGGACACTTCACACTGCCTGGGGACCCCAAACACTCCTGGGCAGGGCCCCCTCCACGTTCCCCCCACGATGTGCATGCCCTCACCCCTCTCCAGCTCCGCAGAGCTGCTGGTTCCAAGCCTGGACAGCAGAGCTCCTGTTCCCCAGCCCTGATCCCAAAGTGCTGGGCTGCCCCAAAGGAATGGGGTGAAGCTCATTTGTCCCATGGCCTTGTCCCCATCCGGGGCTGCAGAGCCATGGGACAAACGACTCCCCTGGCCCAGCTCCCGCCCCCACACAGAGATCACACACAAAACCATCGTTTCTGGGTTTTTTTGGAGGCGTTTTTTTTTTTTAACAGAAGTTTTATGGTTATATGCAAATTAGGTCATTAAATGATTTGCATAAAATGTTCGCACGTCAGCGACTAAGTGTTTCTAACTCCCACCCCCCGACAGGTAGTAAATCCTACTGGACTGGCGGCGTCAGACCGCGCTGTCACGCGTGTCCCCCGCGGGCACGGCGGCGTCACCTCGGGGCGCTCCCGTGCCTCAGACCCGCGGGGACCCGCCCGGAGCGCTCCGAGCCCGCCGGGGCGGCGCCGGCCGCCCGCGCCCTCCGTCCCTTCCCGCGGGGATCCGTCCGGGTGCCGCCCGCGTCACCGCACGCCGTCCCCCGGGGCGGCCGCGGGCACTCGGTGTCCGTGGCGGAGCGGCTCCCGCCCGTCCCTAGCTGTTGGTGAGGAAGAGGCGTCTGTGTCGGGAAGCGGAGCCGCGCGGCCGCCCGCGGCGCCGGCCCCGGCCGCGGTTGCCGAAGGGGCTCCGGCTGGGCACGGCGGTGTCTGCCCAGGCGGCGCTCCCGGCCGGCGGCTCGGGGAAGCTGGGCTCGGCTTTGGGCTGCTCGAGGAGCGGGCTGGGGTCGCGGCGGGGCTCGGGGGGCGGCGGGGCCGGGCTCTGGCGGGCGGCGGCGCGCTCCTGGCGCAGGTAGCGCAGCTCGTCGCGGATGTCCGTGAGGACGCCGAGCAGGCGGAACTGCAGCTCCCGGTCGCGGGCCCGCTCCTCGCGCTGGGTGGCCCGTTCCTCCTGCCACATGGCCAGCTCCTGGTGGTACAGCTGGTCCCACTGCTCCTCCAGGTCGAGCAGGTGATGGATGCTAGTCCTCCAGCTCTCGCGGCGGTCCTCGCGCAGGCGGGAGCAGCCCAGCCCGCGGGCGGGGCCGGCGGCGGCCGGGGCGTCCCCGGGCGGGGAGGCGGAGGAGGGCAGCGACTCCTCGGTCAGGGCGCCGTGCAGCGGGGAGCGGGCCGGGGGCTCCTCCTCCGCCGGAGCCTTCTCCCAGGTGGGCCCCATCAGTACCCTGGGCAAGGCGCCCATCTCCGGGCCCGGGCCGCCCGCCTGCTCCTCGGGATGCGCCGAGTCGAGCCCGCGGCCCAGGGCGGGCAGGTCGGACACGCCCTCGTGCCCCCAGTCCGAGTGAGCGTCCGCGGGGTTGAGGGAGTCCTCGGGCAAGGAAGTGACGGAGCCCTGGGAGCTGCACCGGCGGATCAGCATGGCCTGGCGGGACAGTTTCATGTCCTCCTCCGCTGACATGGGGGCCTCGGGCCCTGGCTGCATCCCCGCGGCCCCACCGTGGCCCCTCTCCACCTCCCGGCCTTCCCGTTCCTCCTCCTCCGACATGGAGGCGTAGGAGACCAGGGACTCGTTTCGCAGGGACGGAGAGATGGCCGACGCGTCTGGAGTGCGCAGCTCCGGTCCCGACTCGGCTGGGAGAGAAGAGAAACCTCTGGTGAGAGAAACCACAGCGCTGCCCTGGCCCCAGGCCCTCCCCAGCACATGGGTTCCAGCAGATCTCCATCCTGACCCAATGGACCTCCATCCTGACGCAGCGGATCTCCATCCTGAGTCAGAGGATCTCCATCCTGACCCAGTGGATCTCCATCTTGACCCAGTGGATCTCCATCCTGAGTCAGAGGATCTCCATCCTGACTCCACTCCCAGCAGACCCCATCCAGAACCTCACTGCCACCGCATCTTCACCCAAACCCTGCTGCCAGAGGATCTCCACCCAGATCTCACATTTCCCAGCGGATCTCCACCCTGACCCAGAGGATCTCCATCCAAACCTCACTCCCAGTGGATCTCCATTCAGACCCAGCCCATCTCCATCCCGCCCTGCTCCCAGCACCCGCAGCCCGTGCCGGCTCCCGCCGTACCGGAGCCGCCCTGCCCCTCTCCTCGGTACTCGCAGCCGCCGGCGGGGTCGGGGCTCTGTCCCGGCAGGCGCGGTGCGGCCGAGCCCTCCACGTCGGGCAGGGCCGAGGGCTGCCCGTTGGTGTCGATGTAGATGCTGGGGTGGCTCACGCCGGGCTGCAGGTGCATGAAGGGCTGCTTGGACGCGCCAGGGAAGAACAGATCTGCGAGACACAGAGGATATGGCCTCAGCTGGCGGGGACACGGTGGCCCCGAGGTACAGATGCTCCTGCAAGGCCATCCCGCGCCATTGCTCAGCCTCACCTGCCCCAGCACCATCCTGGGCCCCCAGGGGGCTGACAGCCCCTAGTGCCAGAAAATTGTGGGGTAGGAGAATAACCTGAGCTGGGAGGAACCAACAGGGATCATTGATCCGGCTCCTGGCTCTGCACAGACACCCCAAAATCCCACCCTGTGCATGCCTGAGAGTGCTGTCCAAATGCTCCTGGAGCTCTGGCAGGGTTGGAGCTGTGACCATTCCCTGGGGAGCCTGGGCAGTGCCCAGCAGGGAAGAACCTTTCCCTGATTTCCAGTCTGATCCTCCCCTGGCACACCTTCATGCCATTACACAGGATTTCTTCCTTCAGCCTAGAGCCCTGTGCTTGGCACATGACAGCCGAGTCTGGGCCACATGGATGGGGCCTATGATGCCCCCAGTGAAACCAGAGAGGCCACTGAAAGCATCAAATTAAAGAAAAGAAGAAAGAAGAACAAAAAAGACCCACTCCTGCAAAGCTTGAGGTGTTTCTATGAATACTGTTGATCTGGCACAGTTTTCCCAGAGCAGCTGGGGCTGCCCCTGAATCTCTGGAAGTGTCCAGTGCCAGGCTGGATGGGGCTTGGAGCACCCTGGGATAGTGGGAGGTGTCCCTGCCCATGGCACAGGATGGAACAGGATGAGCTTTAAGGTCCCTTCCCACTCAAACCACTCTGGGATTTCTACGACTCACTGATCCCAGCTTATTTCCACGGAGAATTTCTAATCCCAGCACACGCAGTTCCCTACCCCAGTGGCTGACACTTGGGTACAACAGGACCGTGACTTTGGCAGATGCTGCAACCCCAAGACAAACCTCAGAGTTTCTTTCCACAACACACAACAGCCAGCTGAGAACGCCAGCGTGGCCAGACGTCCCTCAGGGAGCGCAGCCCACAGAGCCGCCACCACTCACCTGGGTCCAGGATGATCTCGGGCTCCGAGTCGTGGCTGGCCTGCAGGAAGGTGGAAGCCACCATCTTCTCCAGGGGCGTGAGGCGCGGCTTGTGGAGCGGCCCCCCGGCGCGGTTCATGGGCAGGTGCTTCTTGGAGGTGATTTTCTTCTTGACGTCCAGCCGCAGGTCGCGCCACTTGTGCTTGAGGTCGTCGATGGAGCGCTCGGTGTAGCCCAGGAAGTTGACGCGGCTTTGGATCTGGGTCCAGAGCTGCTTCCGCCGCACGGGGTGAGCCCGCAGGGCCTCGGACCCGTACAGGGCGCTGAAATGCCGGACCACATTCCAGACCAGCGTCTCGGTCTCGTCATTGGAGAAGTTGGCCTTCCTCTTCCGGCCAGACGCTGGCATCGCCTGCGAGGCTGCGGCAGAGGTGGAAGGGGCACAATTGAACCTCGGTCCCCACTCCTCTCTGTCGGCTCCTGGGGGGAACATGGGGCTGCGGGAGCCCGAGGGAGCCGCGGAGGAGGGAGCCGAAGCAAGAGCCCCGGAGGCATCCATGGCAGGGGAGGCTTGGGCCGGGGAGGATCTAAAGAGCCGCTTCGGCACAGCACGCGGCACGGGCGCACCGCATCGCCTCGCCCGGCTCGAGGGCACCTGGGAGGGGAGAAAAGGAAAGGGCAGCGGTGGCTGATGGCAGCACGGGGGGACGGCGAGGACCCCCCGGCTCTCTCCAGCCAGAGGCACCCGGGAGAGCCCCCAGGGTGCCACGGACGGGGACGTGGCCGTGCTGAGCGTCAGCACCACGGTGAGGGGTTGTGGTGAGCGCCTTGGGCACGGCACCTGCCCTGGGGCCGCAGAGCTGCCTCACAGGGCGCCTCAGAGCACCTCAGGGCCGGGCTGAGGGTGATGGGGACACCTCAAGGCCACGGCAAGGGGCTCATGGCAATACCAGCAATGATGGGGAAAGTCTCGGGCGTGATGAGCACTTCAGGTTCCCAGCCAGGGCCCCGGGGCCACAGCACTGACCAAGACCTGAAGGACAGGTTCAGGGGCCTTGGCCACAGTGAGCACCTCAAGGCCATGGTGAAGACCTTGGCCAAGAAGCAGGCCTTGGCAAGGGTCTTGGCCATGGTGGGAGCATCAAGAGCCCAGTGAGCACCTCAAGCGCCCACTGAGGACCTTGGAGTCAGGGTGAAACCCATGGCCAGAGTGAGAGCCCCAAGGCCATGGCGAAGGCATCAGAGAAGGCCTTGGCCATGGTGAGCAGCTCAAGCTTGCAGGGAGCACCCTGGCACCAAGACAATGACCGAGGCCATGGCAAGTGTTGCAAGGCCAAAATGAAGACCTTGGCCATGATGAACACCTGAAGAGCCCAGTGAGGAGTGAGGAGCCATAGAAAAGACCTTGACTACGGTGAACACCCCAAGCTCCCAGCGAGGACCTCATGGACACAGCAAAGACCTCGGCCACGGTGCACACCTGGAGCTTCCAGTGAGCACCCTGGGGCCACAGCAAAGACCTCGGCCATGGTAAACACCGTGGCCACGGTGAACACCCCAAACTCCTCGAGAGGAACTTGGGACCACATCAAAAGCCCTGGCTGTAGCGAGAGCTCCAAGGCCATGAAGAAGCCCTTGGCCATGGGGCACACCTGGACCAGGTGTGCAAACCTCAAGCTCCCACGAATACCACGGGATCACAGCAAAGACCACCGTGCCCACCCCAGCCTCCCATCGCGCCCTCGACCCGCAGCAAACCCCAGGAGCAGCGCAGCGGCCTCGAGCAGAGCCCGCAGCCCCGCGGTGCCCCCGCCGGCCCTGCCGTGCCCCGAGCCCCCTCCCCATCCCCGGGGCCCCCGGCAGCGCCCGCACCCGCGGCCTCGGGGCGCCCTTTGCCGGGCCCGGGGGGGCCGCTCGCTGCCCTGCCCCGGCTTTGTTCGCGCTCCTCTCACCGGGGACAAAGCGGCCGGGCCGGGGCCTGCCCCGCGGACCCCCCCCCCATTCGGGATCCCACCGCGGGCGGGTGCGCGGGGCAGGCACCGGCCGCGGCCCCGCCGCTGCCCCCGGCCCGCCGGCCCCCCCGGCCCCGGGACAGCGCTTACCTGCGCCGGGACGGGCGTGCGGGGCGCGGGGGGCGCGGAGCGGGGCCCCGGCGGCGGCGGGAGGGGGGGCTCAGGTCCGGCGGCGGGTAATGGCTCCCGCCTCGGCGGAACTCGCCTTCATTTCCTCCGAGCGCCGGCGCGGGCCCTGCGCGACACCGCGGCCGCGGGCTCCCCCTGGCGGCACCGCCGCGAACCGCCGGGGGCGGGACCGCGCGGGGACAGCCCCGGGAGGGGACAGCAGAGCGGGACCGGAGAACCCCGGGAGGGAGGAGAGGGAGGGGACAGCACAGAGGGAAGGGACAGCAAACCAGGACATCCCACCGGGACCGGGCAGCCCCGGGAGGGACAGCGCAGAGGGAGGGGACAGCACACCGGGACATCCCACCGGGACCGGGTACCCCTGCGGGAGGGGACCGCCCGGGAGGGACAGCATTGCGGGAGGGGACAGCGAACCGGGAGGGGACAGCAAACCGGGACAGCACAGGGGGAGGGGACAGCAAACCAGGACATCCCACCGGGACCGGACAGCCCCGGGAGGGACAGCGCAGAGGGAGGGACGGCACACCGGGACAGCCCACCGGGACAGGACATCCCAAAGGGACGGGACATCCCTGCATTCCACCCTAAGGGGACGGCGGATACCCACCGCGGATACATCCCTGTGGGGGCTCCCTGGGGTGATACATCCCTGTGTGCCACTCCCGAGGGTGCCATGGGTACCCCTGTGGGGCTGTGTCCCCGTGGGGATCCCGCCATGCCCCCAAACCCTGCACCTCCGGCAAGGTGCATCCCACAGGGGTCCCATCCCCGTGCACCCCATGTACCCCCATGATGGTGTTCCCGTGGCCACCCCCAGTGCAGGAGCCCCTGTGTCCCTCCCCTTTTCCAGTTGTAGCTGTGCATCCCTGTGGGGGTCCCGCCTGCTGCACCCCCGCCCCCGGGTGCTTCATGCCCATCCATGACCCTGTATCCATGTGGGGATCCCTCTGTGGCCCCCATCCCTGTACCCCCTGAGCCTGTGGGGACACCTCTGTCCCTGCCTGGTGGCCTCCAGCTGCCCTTGACCCTCTGCAGTCCAGCAAAGACATGGGCCTCAGGGACCCCACTGTGGGGGACAGGGGCACAGCGCACACGGGGGGCTCTGCAGGGGACCCCAGGGTGCCACCAAGGCTGGCACAGCCAGGACAGGGTGACCAGCCAGGTCCTCACTGCCTGCAGGTGCTGCCACGGCCCTGGCACCCGGGTGGGGATGGCACAGCTCGGGGTGGCTGTGGGGGCCACGGTGTCCCCAGGAGGGGAAGGGGGGGTTTGGGGTGGCCCTGCTGCTCCAGGAAGCCCCGGGGAGCTCTGCCCCTCTCCCAGCAGATGTGACAGCAGAATAAAACCACCCATGCTTCGCTTTGCTGAATTCCAACTTTTTAATGCCTGTAACAATCCTCCAGGCACCACGTGGGGACAGCAGCCGGAGGCACCCGATTCCCCCGTGGGATGGAGCTGCTGTCCCCGGCACGGGGACACCCCAGCACCACCCACATCCCCCCACAGCAGTCACAACCACCCCACTCAGGGCAAATCCCCGCTGGCAGCAGCTCCACATCGTTTCCTGCTGGCTGCAGCAGCCACTCCCTGGGAGAAGGTTCTGGCAGCAGCTTTGTGTCCCCAACGCTGCCACTGCAAACCCCACGGCTCAAGAGCAGGGAACAGCGGCCAGGCTGGGCCGGTGACAGCCCCAACGAGCACCGGCCCCTCTCACGGGCACGGGCGGCCGCCCAGTCACTGCTGGGGAGGGCTGTCCCCGAGGAAGGCTCGCCCTGCGCCGGCTGACACCATGTGCACCACATCCTCCAGCTCGTAGAAGGCCTGGAAGAGGTCCGGCGAGGTGGCCTGGCACTCCAGGTACCGCCGCAGCGTGGCCAGGCTCCTCCAGACCTCCCGTTCCGAGGGGCAGGGCGGCACGGCCGCCAGCTCGCCTGCGTCCTCGCCCTCCGCCGTGCCCTCGTCCCCGTCCGCCTCCGCCGGGTCCCCGTCGCGCTCCGGCCGCTCCTGACCGAGCAGACCGGGGGCCGAGGTCAGGGACACGGCCTCGCTGCCGGCGTCGGGGGTGAAGCCGGCGGCGCGGAAGCAGCCGGCGATGAGCCCCGGGTGAACATCGCCCCAGGCTTGCGCCAGCATGTGCAGCACGTCCAGCAGGCTGGGCTGGCCCGCGCCGCGCTCCGCCGGCAGCCACCGCAGCACACGGCGCCGGTAGTGGCCCTTGAGGTCGCCGGCGATGCCGCGGTCCAGGGGCTGGGCCAGGGCGGCGGCCGGCGGGATGAAAACCATCCTGACGTTGGACAGCTGGAGGTAGGGGTGCGCCTCGTGCTTGGCCAGGAGGAGGAGGACGCTCTTGCCCCGCCGCCGCATCCCCTCGTTGAACTCCCGCAGCCACTCGGCGAAGAGAGGGGCGCTCAGGCCGGCCGGGCCGCCGGCGCGGTAGCTCCACGGCATCTGCTCCAGGTTGACGCCCCGCAGGCAGCGCGGCCGGGGGCTGTCCCCCACCGCCCGCAGCGGCACCTTCTCCGAGCCGCTGGCGTTGGCACAGAGCAGCAGCGTCAGCCGCTCGCCGGGGCTCTCGCCGTTACCGGGGGCGCCGGCCGGCAGCGGCACCGCGGTCTCCCCGCAGGCGAAGATCTCGGCAGGCGCGTAGCTGCGGAGGAGGCCGGGCAGCACCGCGCCGGCCCAGTGCTCCGCCGTGGGCTGCTCCGCGTCCCCTTTCTCCGCCGGCGGCTTCTTGCCGTGGCGAGCGCCCAGGCGAGCCAGCCAGCCGCCGCTGGGTTCGGGCTCGGGCCGGGCCGGGTGCCTGGCCCTGAGCTGCAGCAGCGGGCGGCCCACGGGCAGGTCGGCAGCGTGGGCACCCTCCACCCAGCGCAGCAGCGCGGCCTCCAGCGCCGCGTCCTTCCCCTCCCGCTTGCGCTTGCGCTCGGGGTCGCCGTTGCGGTGCCACTCGCTCAGGATGCGCTCCTTGTTCTTGATGATGCGGCAGATCTGGGGCTGCGACACCCCGAAGCGCTTGGCCAGCTCGCTCTGCGACACCTTGGGGCCCTCCAGCATCTCCAGCACGCGCACCTTCTCGGTCAGCGACAGCTCCTTCCGCTCCTTCCGCGGCGCCACCGTGGCTCCCTCTGCCGTGCCCGGGGAGCGCCCGGTGCAGGGCCCCGAGCGGTGGGGGCTGCCCGTGGCCCCCAGCCCCCCCGGCTCGGCTCGGCCTCTCCCGCAGCGGCCGCAGGCGTAGCCGAGCTCCGCGCCGCGCCCCAGCCGGTGCCGCACCAGGTCCGGCTTCTGCCCGATGCTTCCTCGGCCGCACTCGGCACAATCCAGCGGCGGCTCCCCGGGCCGGCAGCGGCGGGTCTCGAAGGCGGGGGGTGCGGCGATGAACCCCCCGTTACCGGCACCGGGATTCGGCTCTGGCTCGAGGACGCCGCAGTAGCTGCAGCCCCGTTCCCGCAGCGGGACGAGGAAGTCGGTGGGGCCGGCGTGGCGGGACGGGGGCGAGCGGGGCGGTGGGGACACCCCGTCCTCGCTCTTCACCTCCTTCCCCTGCCAGTCCCCTGCGGACACAGGAGCGCGTTGGGGAGCGGCCCAAGCCCCCGGCTCGGCAGGATCCGGGCCGGTGCCCGACTCCTGCTCCCGGTGCCACCTGGCCACGATCCCACCCGTCCCCGTGTCCCGCTCACCCTGGGAGGGACCGGCGGGTGCAGCTTGTGGCCGGGGGCTCTGGCGCTCCCCGTAGCGCCCCACTGCCGCCGCCACCCCCTCGTCCCCTCGCTCCACCTCAGCCAGGATGTCGGGTTTGGTGATGGCGTAACCTGCAACAGAGACAAGAGGAGGGACAGCCGGTGATGCCACTGGCCATGCCAACGGACATGCCACCAGAGATGACATCGGTCACAACAGGCCAGGGTTGGCTGCCCGTGGTGATGGGTACAGGCAGCCGGTGTGGTCCCGTGGTGACCCCAGAGCCACCCCGTGACCTCCTGCTCCCGGTATCAATCCGGTGAGTGCCAGTCTCCCTCGTGGCCAGGCCACGACCGGCAGTGCCAGGAGCGGAGCCGGGATGGCCCCGGTGCCTCACCCAGGTCGACGGGATGCTGGCGGTCCTCCTTCATGGCACCGGCACCGTCCCGGTTGTCGGGAAACGCGGCGGCAGCTGCTCGCGGTGCTGCTCCCGCCGAGGCCTCAGCAGCGCGAGGGATGGCGGTGCCTGAGTGATGCCGCACCGGGATGACGACGCGCGGCCGGGCGGCGGGACGCGGCGTCGGCGGCGACCGTGGGGCCGATGGCGGGGCCGCCGAGCCCCGGTGGGCCGCGGTGGCGTTGCCGCACCTGTCCCTGTCCCCGTCCCCTCCCGCCCGCTCGGTCCCGCTCGGCCCCGCCCGGTGCTGCCCGGTGCCGCCACCGCCCCCGCCTCGCGCGGCCCCGCTACCGGCGGCGGGAGCGCGCGTGACGCCGGGCCCCGCCCCCTCGGCGCTCCGCCCAATGGGCGCGCGGTCCGCCCGCCGCCGGGGGTCGCTGTGGCGCCGGGCGCCGCCGCCGCCGCTCCCAGCGCGCCCCGCGCCCTCGGCATGGCCGCTCCGCCCCGCCGCTGCTGAGCCGCCGCCGCCGCCGCCCGGCCCCGCCGCCGCCCGCCCGCGCCGCCGCCCCGCACCGCCCGCGCCGCCCCCCGCGCCATGGCCGACTGGGCCCCCGCTGAGGTAAGCGCCGCCGCCGCCCCCCGCCTCCCCCGCCGGCCGCCGCCCCCCGGCCCGGCCCCGCGTCCCGCCCCCCCCGCGAGCTGCGGGCGCGTCCCCGCGCTCAGTACCGCGCGTTCCCCCCGCAGGAGCTGGAGTGCATGATGGAGCCCCAGGAGCTGGGCCTGGAGCAGCCGCTGGCCGCCCCCGAGCACGGCCCCGGCGGCGAGGCCGAGCTGCCGGCCGCCGAGATCTCCCTGACGCTGGTCACCGAGATCCAGGCCGTGGACAGGAAGGTGGACACCCAGGCCGCGCAGCTGATGAACCTGGAGGGCAGGATGAGGATGGCCGAGACGAAACTGATCGGCTGCGAGAAAACGGCGGTGGAGTTCGGGAACCAGCTGGAGAGCAAGTGGACGGCGCTGGGCACCCTGATCCAGGAGTACGGGCAGCTGCAGAAGCGGCTGGAGAACATGGAGAACCTGCTGAAGAACAGGAATTTCTGGATCCTGCGGCTGCCCCCGGGGGCAAAAGGGGAAGTCCCCAAGGTAACGGTTTGGGTTTGCTGCTCCCCGCTGCAAAACGGGGCTGTTCTGCACGTCTGGGGCTCAGAACCCCGTGCCCTGTCCTCACAGCTCCTTATCCTGAGCTCACAGCCCCATATACTGAGCTCACAGCCCCATGCCCTGGACAGCCCCATCTCCTGTGCACTGTCAATCCCATCTCCTGTGCACTGGCAGCCCCATATCCTGCACTGTCAGCCCCATCTTCTGTGCACTGTCAATCCCATTTCCTGTGCACTGTCAGCCCCATCTCCTGTGCACTGGCAGCCCCATATCCTGCACTGGCAGCCCTATCTCTTGTGCACTGGCAGCCTGATCTCTGCACTGGCTGCCCCATCTCCTGCAGTGACAACCTGATCCCTGCACTCACAGTCCCATTTTGGGACAGCTGCAGTGCTCAGAGCCGTTCATGGCTCCCCCAGAGCCCTGTTCTCCCTTCAGTACCCAGAAGCACCAGCACAGGTCCTGCTGTGTTGGCTATGCCCTACTCATGCACGTGTGATCTGGGAGGGATGTCACAAATTCCTGTGTGTGGATCACGTGGAATTTTGTGGCTCAGCCCCGTGTAACTGGGAAGGCTTGGGAACATCCCCAGGGCTGTTCAGAGGTGATGAGCAGCAGAATTGTGTCAAAAAGGAAGTGAAAAGGGGTCTATGCCAGGCCTTGTGCATGGGGCAGTGACAGGAGGAGGCTGAGCAGGGGGAGGTGACAGGCGGGTGACAGGGGAAATCCCTGTTGTGTCCCTTGAGGCATGAGGCATGTGGGAAGGAGCAGATGTTCCTGTCTGCACGACACTTGAGGAGTTTGAGTGAGAAAACTGAATGAGAAAATGTCCCCAGGTGTTTTCTTAAATGAGGAACAAACCCTGTGGTGCTGCTCCTTGCAGGTCCCCGTGGCCTTCAACGACGCCTCGTTTAACTTCTCTGAGGAGGAGTGGAAGAGCCTCAACGAGTGGCAGAAGGAGCTCTACAGGCACATCATGAAAGGCAACTACGAGGCTGTCATCTCCATGGGTAATGACAGGCCTGGCTTTGCCCTCAGCCTCCTGGCACAGAGTTTTCCTGGGAACTGGTGGATGGAACCTGTGTCCTGCAGGGTCAGGGAGGGGTGCTGTGCTCTGGGGAGGTGTTACACAGCCCTGGCAGTGAGTTCAGCCCTCACAGCCACGCTGAGGGTGGAAGGATGTCATGAGTGTCACTGCAGGGACAGTGGCTCCCTGATGGTCCCTGCAGCCTGGCGAGTGCTGGGATTGTGAGGAGGAGGGGAAGTGAGAGGACCCTCAATCCAAGCAAAGCTGGGGAAGAGGGAAGTTCCTTTGTCACGCCAAGGTCCACAGATCCACTGCGCTGGGTGCATCAGCCCGCTGGCTGCTTAGGGCAGCAGAGGGTGCCCTGTGCCCTGCCTCTGAGGTTCCTTCCAGCCCTTTCCATGGGGAGTTGTGCTGACTTCCCTTTCCTCTCCCGTGAGGGAGAAGTGACGTTTGCCTGGTGCTCTGTCCAGCCCCAGGGAGCGAGTCCTGCTCGCGGTGCTGCGGGGTCTGCTGGGGCAGAGCTGGGGAGAAGCAGTGGCTGGGGGTGAGCTCTGCCTCCTGCTTTCCCCTCAGCAGCTCAGGGCAGTGCATTCCCAGCCAAAGGAACGCGCTCCGCTCGCTCCTGCCAGTCCTGGCTGCGGGAATTCCCTCTGGGGAACTTCACAGCATGTTCCAGAAATGACCTTGCCTTGGCTGGACCGGGGCTGGGAGCGCAGATGCCGTCCCTGGTAGCCAGACACTTCCCTGTGCCGAGTCCAGCCTCATCTGCCTCCCTGCCATCCAGCTCTGCCCAATCCAGGCCTTTTCTGCCTTTTTTTTCCCCCCCGTTTATTTTTTTGAACAGAAGTTTCCTGCAGTCCCTGTGTGCCAGGGAGAAAGGTGAAGGGTAACCACAGCCCCCACTCTCCTGTTTCCAAACCAGTCCTGTGTCCTGCTCCTGAGGCACAGGAATGCAGCTGCAGGGGATCTGGGGATCTGAGCCTGGAGCTTAGAGAAACCTATCTGTGCTTCATCCCGAGCTTTCCCTTGAGAAATGAGGTTTAGGGCTTTGGCTCCCGTGTAAGGGAAACGGATCCAGCGGAGCAGAGGTGGAGTTTAACCCCCAGGGCCTCCCTCCCACATGTCTGGAAGTGAAGTTTTCTGCTCTCCGCCCCAGGAGAGACAGTAATTGTCCCCTTTCCCCCACCAAAATCCGCGAGCAGCCCGGGACTCGGACGAGTAGGACGGAGCGGTCCTGGCTGGAGGGAACCGCACGGGGAGGGCAGTGCTGGCAGCTCTGCTGCTGCCCCCGAGCTGAAGCCCCCATTGTAATGGATCCGCGGACCTTAGCGCAGAGGAGAAGACAGGAGAGCCTGCAGGTAAGCCTGGATGCCTTTTCTTCCTGTCCTCCTCACGCTGCAGGCTGGGAGGTGCTCCTCACCTGAGCAGAGTGTGCTCCTGCATCCAGGGCCCACGCAAGGTGAGCGCAGCAGAGGGCTGAGAGCAGCTTCCCGAGCCTCTCTCGTTCATTCCCCAGCAAAGGAAGGTTGGTGGGCAAAGGCTGCAGAGTCTGTCTCCTGCCAGGGCAGGGGAAACATCCTCATCCTCTTTTTATGTGCAGACGCTGCCATTTCCAAGCCTGAGCTGCTGACACGGATTGAGCAGGGAGAGGATCCCAACGCTGAGGATCAGGAGGACTCTGAGGGAGGAGAGACCCCCACAGACCCCACCACTGGTGAGCCACGAGGTTCCTGGGACTGGGAGGGGAGGTGGAGGCAGATGTGGGGCTGTTCTGTTTTGTCAGCTCTCTCCTCAGGTGCAGGGGGGCTTTGCTTTCCTGCTTGCCTCCCACCTGATGCATCCATCTCTCCTGGAATCCTCTAAAGCAGCTGGAAGGTTGGAGTGTAACTCCTGCTCTTTTCTCTTGCACAGAGTTTTTCTTCCCTGGGCCCGATGACAGCTCGTGGGGTAAATATGAAGAGACTCTGGCTGAAAGCCACGAAGGCTCTGAGGAAGAGGAGAGCATGGAGGTCCCTGGTACATGTAAGTGCACTGAGCTGCTTTGGGAAGTGTCCCTTGCCTAGATGTGCTTCTGACTTCCCAGCCTAATTCCCTGGAGCTGTTCAGTTGTTCCGGATGATGCTTTTCCAGAATTTCAGAAAGTTGCTTTGAGTCACAGTTTATACCATGGGAGATCCTTCACCCTAAGGCACTGTCCAAGCCCATGAAAGAAAAGAAGTTTTATTCCTTTTTCCTCTGTTTTTTGGGCTTTATCCTAAAGCACAAGTTCTTAAAGACCTATCCTGCTTCAGGAACCCTTTTTTTTCCTCTGGCTACCTATCTATAGCTAGATTATATATATAATATTATATTACAACATAATTGAATGCAGGAAGTTGCTGGAGTGTGTCCAGAGAAGGAAATGGAGCTGTGGGAGGGTCTGGAACACCAGGATCAGCTGAGGGAGCTGGGAAAGGGGCTCAGCCTGGAGAAAAGGAGGCTCAGGGGGGACCTTCTGTCTCTGCACAATTCCCTGATAGGAGGAGACAGCCAGGGGGGTCAGGCTCTGCTCCCAGGGAATGGGGACTGGATGAGAGGAAAGGGCCTCAAGCTGTGCCAGGGAGGGTCAGGTTGGAAATTGGTAAAATTATTCCCTCAAAGAGCCTGTTACACATTGAGACCACCCAGAGCAGTGGTGGATTCTCCATTGCTGGAGGGATGTAACATCCATGTGGATGTGGCGCTTGGGGACATGGTCAGGGGTGGCCTTGGCAGTGCTGGACTTAATGATTTCCGAAGCCTTTTTCAACCTCAACAATTCCAAGATTCCAAGTCCAATCCCTGTGGACAGAGTAGGTGCTCCCAGCCGGCCTCACAGCCCCGTCAGTGCCAGGCTCTGAGCTGGGTGTGCACAGCAGAGACCCCCCGTGTCCCAAGGGAGCTGAGTGAGCACCCCCCAGTCCTTGGGACCCCAAATGACACCGGTGTCTCTGCTCCACCAGACGAACAGCCGTGCGATGAGGAAGGCTCCGAGAGCCTGGAGCTTTCCAGGTCGTTGACAGGAAAGTGGGAAGAGGTTTTCTCCAACCCGGAGGAGGAGATGCAATCGAGCAGCAAGAGCCAGAGCGGGTCGGCCCCGCCGCAGCGAACGGCGACGGGCAACGGGCTGAGGCGCTCCGTGCGCCGCGGGAGAGACTTGGCCAGGAAGGATCCCGAGGAGGCGGCGGCCGACAAGGGGCCCTACATCTGCTGCGAGTGCGGCCAGAGCTTCCTGGACAAGCAGCTCTTCGCCACCCACCAGAAGGCTCATGCCAGCGAGGAGGCCTGCACGTCCCTGGAGCGCGGCGAGAGCTTCCGGCAGAAATCCAAAGCCAAGGGCCAGGGCCCCTCCCGCTCCAAAGCGTCCAAGCGCCCCGACGGGGAGAAGAGCTCGGGCTTCAAGTACGGCTTCGTCAGGCACCAGGTGAACAACATGGTGGAGAGGCCCTACACCTGCTCCCAGTGCAAGGAGAGCTTCAGCCTGGAGGTGAGTCTGATCCTGCACCAGAAGCTGCACACGGGGAAGGGCGACGGGCCGCTGACGTGCACCTACTGCGGGAAGGACTTCCGAGACCTCTCCAAGGCCATCCGCCACCAGCGCATCCACACCGGGGAGAGGCCCTACCAGTGCACCGAGTGCGGCAAGAGCTTCATCCGGCGGGACCACCTGCTCAAGCACTGGCGGGTGCACACCGGGGAGACCCCCTACCAGTGCCCCGTCTGCGGGAAGCACTTCCGCTACAAAGAGTCCCTGAATTGCCACCAGAAAATCCACTCGCGCAACCCGCGGCCCGGGGAGGATTCCCAGCACAACCTGGGCTCGGCGGGCACCCAAACCGACCATTTCTGCGTGAAAAAAGAGACTAAGCAGTAGCCGTGGTGGGGCCGGGGCAGGAGGGCTCGCGGTGACCGTGACGGTCTGGCAGGTGGACGTGCAGCATGATGGCAGGTGACTTGTATCGCAGCTAATCCATGTGGTCATGCTACGAAGCCCGCTTTGGTGAAGCATCCAAGGAATTCCTCTTAAAGACTCTGCTCGGCCGGCCCAGGCGGCTCTGGGACCCCGCGGGGTTCCGTGGCGCTCCCACCGCGGCGCAGGCCCCGCGCTCGCTGTTCCCCACGCAGGGTTGGATTCTGCCCGTAGAGAATGATCCCGAGCGGTTCTCTGGGCTCCGTATTTAGCAGGTGTTCCCCCACCTATCTTTGTGCATATTCAGGAGTGACAAGCTTTCGCTTTCTTTTTTCCACTCGTTTCACTGCAAGGCTGGAAGCGCGAGGAGGGAGGGAGGGAAGGAAGGCGCCGTTCCCGGCCGGCCGCCCGCTCCCGCTGCGTCGCCGCGTCCCCAAAGGCTGCGAGGCCAGGACTGGGATGAAGGCCAGAGAGAGGCGAGGCAGAGAGAGGCGATCAGGGCGCGACGTGGGATTTGTGGAAGGCGGAAAAGCGGAGAGGAGAGCGTGGCAAAGAGCGGGGTGAGATAAAGCAGGTGCAGGAGAAGGGGCTGAGGACATTGGAGCAGGAGGAGTCGGGAAGGGCAGCGTGTGGAGGCGTGCTGGGGTCGCTCACACGAGGAGGACACGTCTCCGTGCTTCTGGAGGGTGTCACTGGCACCAGCCGGACTGTGGTTCCCCTCTGGCCCGAGGGAACGGCGCCGCTGGGCTGACACATGGACTCCTGACAATGAAGGTGATTTTATTTCTATTTTTTAACTGGGTTTGGTCTCACTCAGGTAAGTCAGACGAGTGAAAGCAGCTTCTCCTAACCCCTGTAAAGAGCTGTTTGGTTTTTAGTTAACCTAGAAGTAGTCTTATTATTATTAATTATTATTATTATTATTATTAATTATGATGATGATAATACTACAAGGAAAGGTGTGACACTATATTTCACAGTTGCTCTAAAACACTTCCATGTATGCGATAACCGCCCGGAGTTTTCCAGCTCTTTGTGTAAATATTGGATGACTTCTGGAGCTGTTGGTGTTGTTCTGAGGTGCCTGTACGTGGTGTCTCTTCGCTCTGTATCGTCAGCTGCTGGTTCCTGACCGTGTTTTGTAATAACTTTTGTAAAGTCTGTCAATACAGTGTTTCCATTCTGAATTCTGTGTCAGCCCTTTGTGAGTACCTGCAGCTCCCTCATCCTGCCCCTGGCTGGAGCTTTTCCAGCTCCTTGAGGAGCTCCCTCATCCTGCTCCTGGCTGGAGCTTTTCCAGCTCCTTGAGGAGCTCCCTCATCCTGCTCCTGGCTGGAGCTTTTCCAGCTCCTTGAGGAGCTCCCTCATCCTGGTACTCAGGAGCTTTTCCAGGTAATTGTGGAGCAGGTGAACAGCACAAGCCAAGCTGTGCTGGAGGGCCAGGCCTGGCAAATGAGGCTGCTCTGGGATGCTGCGTCTGGAAGTGGTGGTTTTAACTTGATTTGGGTTTGTGCCTGTGCCACGCACAAATGGGGCTGTGGACAGCTGAGGAATCCTTGGATCCGTGGTGGGATGGAGCTGGGACATCCCACACCCAGGATGAGGGACAGGGAGAAGTGCTGGTGGCTGTGGCCACCTTGGAGCTGGGATCATGGAATCAAAGGATGGGTTGGAAGGGCCCTCATAGGGTGCCCAGCTGGTGCCACACACTGGGGGTTTTTCCTTCCAGGCTCCCTCTCAGCCCAGCATTCCCCAGGCTCTTCCCTGCCAGAGCCCAGGACACAGAGACAGTTCCCTCTCCCCAGCAGAGACACAACGAGCCCCAGGGGTTGTTCCAGCCTGGGACCTGGGCTGGGAGGGGAGAGGGCAGCCCTGAGGTGACAGCCACCATGGGGATGTGGCACCTGGGGTCCACAGAGACCAGGGAGTGCCAGAGTCCCTCAGCCACCTCAACCCTGGGGGTGCTGGGTGCCTGGGGGGACAGAGTGAGTGACCCCAGTGAATCCCCCCCAGTGAATCCCCCATGCTCTGAGTGACCCCAGTGAATCCCCCCCAGTGAATCCCCCACACTCTGAGTGACCCCAGTGAATCCTCCCCACACTCTGAGTGACCCCAGTGAATCCCCCCCAGTGAATTCCCCATGCTCTGAGTGACCCCAGTGAATCCTCCCCACACTCTGAGTGACCCCAGTGAATCCCCCCCCAGTGAATCCCCCATGCTCTGAGTGACCCCAGTGAATCCCCCACACTCTGGAGCCACTCCATGGAATGGGGCTGCCCCACATGGACATGGAGATGCCCCACATGGACATGGAGATGCTGGAGATGGATTATGGGGAGAAAGAAGGAGAAGGAAAAGAGCTCAGGAAGGAGCAGCCAGTGGGATCCAGGCTGGGGAGAGTGGGTGCTGCCAAGGGCAAGGCTGAGCACAGCTCTGAGCACACAGAGACACCCTGGGGACACACAAGTGTCCCTCTGTGGTCACACAGACACCCTGGGGACACACGAGTGTCCCTCTGTGGTCACACATGTGCTCTGTGTGCACACAGGGCTGGTCACAGGCACACAGCGCTCCAGGGACATGGCTGTATCCCAGTCCTGCTCACTCCACTCCTGGCAATAACCACACCTGGTGATCCACACCCATCTCCACAGGGACAGCGTGGAGTCCCTCAGCCAGGCTCAGGCACTCCCTCTGCACTGGGATCTACAAACCCCAGCCAGGGACACCCCTGAATGCCAGAGCTGCTCCTGGTGTCCCCTCCCAATGGATCAGCCCTGGGCAGAGGTTGTGGATCTGGGACAGCCCAGGAGGGGCCTGGACAGGGGGGTCTTTACTTGGGGGTCCCCACCTGCTGCCACATCCCTGTGCCCCCCTAAGCCTGGGTGACGCATCCCACTTGTCCTCTCCCTTTTCCCACAAACCAAAGGGTTTCCTGCCCTTCCCTGTGCTCAGTGCCACCAACTTCCCCCCCAAGGTGGGCCAGGGCTGTGCCAGAGCAGGCAGGGATGGTACTGGGGAGATGGGGTGGGGTGGGATGGGGTAAGAAAGGATACAGTGGGACAGGATGAATGGGATGGGATGGGATGGGATGGGATGGGATGGGATGGGATGGGATGGGATGGGATGGGATGGGATGGGATGGGATGGGATGGGATGGGACAAGATGTGGGATGGACAGGGTGGGACTGGCTGGGACAAGAGTGGGGACACAGCATGGATGGAGTGGGATGGGACAGGATGGGATCAGCCAGGGCGCATGGAGTGGGATGGGCCGGGCATGAAGAGACATCGAGGATGGGTGGGACAGGAGGACATGGATGGGACAGGGCGTGGTGGGATAGACAGAATGGGGCAGGACAAGATCGGGAAGGATAGGACAGAATGGACTGGGATGGGAGAGAATAGGAATGGATGACGTGAGATGGGAGGGGACGGCACAGGAGAGGACGGGACGGGATGGGACGGGATGGGATGGGATTGAGGCTGGAGATGGGATGGGACGGGATGGGATGCTGCGGTCGGGCCCGGCGGGGAGGCCGAGAGGTGGAAGGGGAGGGGTCGTTCCATTTCCACGGCGCCGGCGCCTCCGGCCGCCATTTCCGAGCCCGCAGGGATGGGCGGCAGGGACCCGACGGGCGGGGCCGGAAAAGCCGCCCCGGGGCCTCCACAGTGACCCCCTGGTCCCTCCCCTGCCCCGCCATGTCGCACCGAGCCCCCCGCACTCTCTCACTCGCCCCAGTCAAACCAGCGCCTCCCGTCACCTCGCACCGCGCCCCGGCGCCTTCCCCGTTACTCCTCGGTGCCCCCGTCCCCCCGGCTCCCCGCTGCCAGCCCAGCTCCTCGGGCAATCCCGAGTGCCACTAACGGCCCCAGCTCCGTCAGTTCTCCAATCCCTCGGTCCCCGCAGTTCCCCCGGTCTCCGCGGTTCCCGGTGCGGGCGGTGCCGTGGGGGGGCCCCGACGGGGCGGGGTGCTGATGCCGTCGGCCCGCCAGGGGGCGCTGTGCGGCGCGCTCCCGCTCCGCTCCGCCCCGCTCCGCGCGCGGTCCGGCGGCGGCAGCGCCCCCTGGCGGCGCGGCGGGGCAGCGGCGCGGCCGGAGCGCCGGACCCGGACCCGGACCCGGAGCCGCGCTCGGTGTCGGAGCCGCCGCCGCCCCCGCCCCGCCGCCTCCGCCCGCTAGGCCCGCGCCGCCTCCGCCCCGCCCCCGCCGCGCCGCGCCCCCGCCCCGCCGCGCCGCTCCGCGCCCAGCCCGATGCCCGGCGGCGGGCGGAGGTGAAGCAGCGAGCGGGCGCTGGATCCTCCCGGCCGCGGCCCCCGGGGCCCCGGGCACGGAACAAAGGGCCATGGCCGAGGGGGCCCCCGCTCAGGTAAAGGGCGCCCGCCCGGCGCGGGGCCGGGCCCGGCGCGCACCGCCCGTCCGCGGCTCGCGGGCCGCACGTCGGGGCTCACGGGCCGCGCCGTCGGGGCCGCGGCGGGCGGGGGGGGCGGCGGGCGGCGGGCGCTGTCAGCGCGCGGGGCCGCGGCCGCCCCCCCGGGGCGACGGGCGGGGACGGGACGGGCGGCCCCGGGGGGGCGGCGGCGCCGCGCCGAGCCCGCCCGGGCCTCCGCGGCCGGCGGCGCCCGCGCTGCCGTCGAGGCCGGGCCTGCCCGGCCGCCGCGCCGCCCCCCCCCCCCCGCCCGCCGCCGGGCCCTGCGGCCCCCCGGGACCGACCCGCCGCCGCCCCCGCCTCCCGTGTCACCGCCCGGTCCCCATGGCGACGGGGCGCCCGCAGCCCCTCGGGTGTCCCCTCGCCGTGCCCATGGCAACGGGGCTCGGCCGGCCCGTGTCACCCCGCGCCCCCCCCCACTCCCGTGTCACCTCCCGGCCCCGCGCTGTCACCTCCCCCCACCCCCGCGGGTCCTGCCCGTCCCGTGGGACCGGCACGGGGCCGCCGTAAGCGGCTTAGCGGGGACACGGGGACGTCCCCGCCGCCCCGGCGAGCGCCGGGCCCTGCAGCGGCCCCCCCCCGCGGGGTCCGCATGGCCCCGGGGATGTCCCCATCGCCCCGGGGGCCCCCGTCACACCGGGGGCGGGCGGGTCTCCATCACCCCGGGAGGGTCCCTGTCCCCCTGGGGGCATCCCCGGCCTGACCCCTCGCCCTTGTGTCCGCAGGCGCCGGAGCCGGTGCGGCCGCCGCACTGCCCCTCGCCCCTCCGGCCAGCGGCCGGCCCCGAGCGCACCTCGGAGCGGGAGACGCAGACGGCTGAGCTGTCCCTGACCGTGGTGGCGGCCGTGCAGGCGGTGGAGCGCAAGGTGGATTCCCACTCCACCCGCCTGCTGGACCTGGAGGGTCGGACCGGGATGGCGGAGAAGAAGCTGATCGACTGCGAGAAGACGGCGGCGGAGCTGGGGAACCAGCTGGAGAGCAAGTGCGCGGCTCTGGGCACCCTTATCCAGGAGTATGGGCTGCTCCAGCGGCGCCTGGAGAACATGGAGAACCTCCTGAAGAACAGGAACTTCTGGATCCTGCGGCTGCCCCCGGGCAGGAAGGGGGAAGTCCCCAAGGTAACGGTGTCCTGGGGAGCGGGAGCTGGGCACTGCTCCCGAAATGCTCCCGGGGGGCCAGCCCAGGGTGGGTGAGTGGGGACAGCCCCTGCTCAGGTGAGTCTCTCGCCATGGCAGCTCCCCATTGCAGCTTCCCAGCTCATCCGCTGCTGGGGCTAAAATACGGAGGGACAAGGCCTGGGAGGACATCCTGGTACTCAGGCCAGAGGTTTCAGTTCTGCTCCACTGCGCTGCACAGCCCTGGGGCCGTTGACTCTTTTTTGTTCTTTTTTTTTGCCACCACTTCTAGAAATCCTGCAGATTTTGTGGTTCTTCCGTTTTGACCACCTTGATGCTGCAGAGTCTCCCAGGCCAGGGAAGGAGCAAGTGGGAGCTGCTGCTGCAGGGAAGGGGGAAGCTTTGGGATTCAGGAAGGCAGATGAGCTCCTTGGGCATAGCTCTGGAAAGAGCCCACCATCAATATTCAGTTCCTACTTGAATTTCACAGCCTTCCTGCTAAAAGATTGTGCAAATGAGACCATGTATGACATGGGAGAGGGAGTATCTCTGGAGAGAGCAGAGAGGATCAGGAAAAGGTGGGTTCAGACCCTGACACCCCATTAGTGCAGTTGGGGGACAGAACTGGAGTGCTGCGTTCCCTCTGAAGAGCTCCACTCCAGCACAGCACAGTTTGCACATCCTGAATTTATCCCTAGGAATTATTCCTTGGCTAACAAGCTGGGAAGCTGCAGATGGTGGGTGCACAGTAACCAGGGATAATGGGGAGCCCTGTGGGCCTGGGTAGAGTTTTCCCTGGAGTTCTGGGGTAATTGAATCCGGGAGTTACGTCAGCTCATTAATAGGGATGAGTCCAGCTCAGCTCCTGGGTTTTCTCTCCCTTGTGGTCCCCCAAGCCTGATCACCCTGCAGAGAGCAGGGACTGAGAGGAGGAGCTCAGGGTCCTTTGGGGAAATCCCAGTCTGGATTCACCACCAGGAACCATCCGTTTGGTTGAGTCCTTTATTCCCAAAGAAATACCTGCCCAGGACTTGTTTTAAATGGAAAAAGCAGCTCATGGCTGGCCTCGGAGGAGCTGAAGCCTGGCTGTGTCCAGGCTCCTGCTTGAAGGCACTGTTGGAATTGCAGGTGCCGGTGACCTTTGATGATGTGTCCGTCTATTTCAATGACAAGGAATGGGAGAAGCTGGAGGAGTGGCAGAAGGAGCTCTACAAGAATGTGATGAAGGGGAACTACGAATCTCTGATCTCCCTGGGTAAATACGGGGTGTCCTTGCCCTGCTGAGGGACAGGAGGCTCCTTCTGGCTCCTCCTTGGAGATCCCCTTGGATGAGACACAAATGTTCCATTTTAAAGGCTTGAAAACACAGGAGGATGTTTTCAGTCTGGGTTTATTCCAGCTCATGCCGTGGTGGCGTTCTGGCTGGGCGAGGGGATGCCCTGTGGGCAGGTGGGGTGGAGACCTCCCAAACCTCTTCCAGACACAGTTATGCCATCCAAACCCAGCTCCTTCCTTCCCCATGGCTCTTGGGAGGGCTTCCCTGCATCCTCTGGGCCTGCAGTGGGTACCAGCCCCTGCACCCCTTCAGAGGATTTTGCACCTGTGGATGTTCCTGAGTGTCCTCACATGTCCCCCGTGTGCTGGGAAGAGGTGGAAGCCAATACCAGATTCCCAGTGCAGTAATCCCTCTCTCCCACCCCTCTGTCTCTCAACAGACTATGCAATTTCCAAACCTGGTGTTTTGTCTCAGATCGAGCAAGGGGAGGAATCGCGGGGCAGGAATGAGCAGGACCTGGAGGAGAGTGAGATCATTACTGATGCCACGGCAGGTGAGGCGGCACCTTGGCCCCAGGGCAGCCCTGGGTTGTGTTCCCAGGGGCTGCTCATCCCAAGGCTGGAGCAGATGTTGCTGGGAGCTGTGGCTGGTGTGGTTTATCAGGAGAAGCCTTGCCTAGGAATGGGACAGATTGGGCTGACTGGAGGTTTAATGTCCAGGTACAGCTCAACATAGAAACCAGGGCAAGCAGAGCCTGGAGAGTTGGGCACTGGGAGCCCTTCCCAGCAAGGGAAGCATCTGCAACCAGACCAGGTCCTCAGGGAGCCGGTGTGCCCAGCAAGGACAGAGAATTGGGTCCCACTGGGAGAGCCCATCCACCCAGAAAATCCTCCACCCTCTCTTTGCATGGATGGTGCCTGGATTTATCCTTGGAGCATCCTCCCAGGCAGGGAGGCCTGGTCCCAGGCTGTGTGCAGGGAGATGGGATGGTGAGGGCCAAGACTGGGCTGGGAATGGGGCACCAGCGACCCTGAGTCTCAGAGCAACTCCTGCTCTGTGAGAAGGGGGCTGATACGGAGATAAAGAGGTGACCTGGAAGAGATGGTGTCACCTCCACTCGTCATCCCTGATTCCAGGCTGTGGATGTGGGGTCACACCAATGCCTTGCTTGTGCTCTCCATCACAACGATCTTGAAATTAAATTGAGGCCAATGGGAAGGAGAAAATCACGGGCCCACGTGGAGCTGCAGCTGGGGGATGTGGGGTGGCCGAGGGGTGCCCCAGGCTGGGTGGAGGGAGTTCCCTGTGCCTGTGAAGGGTCCTGGGCTGGAGCAGGGAGCGTGGCAGGGATGGGTGAAGAGCAGGGGTTGAAGGGAGAGCCGAAGGGAGACCCCTCAGTGGGAGCAGCAGCTGGAGCCAGCAGGGATTGCTGGGAGCAGGTCCCTCGTTCTGGCTCCTGGGAGTGATGGCAGGTGGCAATCTCTCGTTGCTGCAGCTGGAATAAGGGTGGTGATCAAAACAGAGGAGCTCCTTCCTGAAGACAGCCCTGAGAACCCCGAGCTGCACGGGATGTCGGGGCAGTCCGAGGGCAGCTTCCAGAGCCCCGACGAGGAGGCGGCCTGCGAGAGCCCCTACGGCTCCGTGTCCCCCCCGAGGGACCTCCCGGGCACCAGTCTGGGGGACTCCTCCGAGTACGGAGCCGACTTCAGCGAGATCCAGAGGGTCATCGTTCACCACGGGGGCTGCACAGGTGAGACACTCGGCACGCTGATCTGCACACGTGGTGTGTCAGGGACAGGAGGCCCAGGGGGCTGTGGTGGGTTAGGAAGAGATGGGGAAGGGGCTGGATGGACAGGAGGAGTTAAATCCCCCCAGAACCAGCACCAGAAGGAAAGTTCCTGGCTGCAGTGACTTCCGAGAGTGGCTCTGGTCACACCTTGAGCTTGGAGGAGGAGGCAGCACGTCCATGGTGGACACAGAACGAGGTCTCCAAGGGCTCCTGTCCTGCTCAGGAACAGAGCAAGCACTGGCCCAGTCCTCTGAGTCTGGGAAAAGCCCTGGTTAGCCACGGAGACCAAGGGAAGATGTGTCTCAGGCTGTGTTCTGTGAGAGCCCCAGTGAGCCCTGCTCCCAAAACCCCGCTGTGGCAGAGGGCAGGAGGTTGGTGTCTGGTGTGGAGGAGTGGATGGTTGCACACTGGACACTGCTGGAGGAATGTGGGAGGTCCTGCAGGTTGCCACATGTGGGAGTTGCTTGGGGCAGCTCCACAGGATAGGGAAGAATGTGGCTGGAGCTCTGTGATTTCCAAGCTGCCAGGAGGGAAGGGGAAGGATGAGGTGATTTGTGGAGAGATGAGATGATGGCACCGAGTGTTTCATGTGTAGAATTCTGCTGGTGGAGTGGCAGATACAGGACAAGTCCTACAGATGTGCTGTAAGGCTGGGGATGGGAGAGCAGGGAGATGAGAGGTTGGGAATGGTGGGTTCCTTCCTCCTGACGGCTTTGTGGTGGTGTAACACAAACCAAGACTCAGAGAGTGGGGCTCTTGAGGGCCTCAACTCCGTCTTGTGGGTCCTGTGGTCTGCTCAAGGCTTTGTGAGGGAAACCAGCCAAGCCACCAGGGGGCTGATCCTTGTCTGAGAGCCACTGCCTCTGCCAGCTGGTGGGGCTGGGCAGGAGCTGCAGCTGTGCTGGCCAGGATGGGGGGCTGAGCTCCCAGGCCCACAGAGGGGGCAGAGAGAAGGACCTGGGTTTTCCCTTCCTCAAAGGGAAGAGGGCCATGGCTTTGAGACATCCACTCCCATCACTTTCCTTTTCTTGGGAAAGTGTAGCTGCTCTTCCTGGGAGAGCATTTAGGCCTGGCTCACAGTCCAGTGTGGGGTGACATGAGGGATGACCTGTTGGCCTTTCCTTGGGCCGTGCTGGCTGTGTGTCCTGCCGTGTGTCCCTGGGATGGCTGCTGTCACCAAACAAAGTCCCCGGCTCACTTCCGGCCTTGGTGACATGAAGGGGAGCCTGGCCTGCTGCCATCCCCCTGCTGCCATTCCATCCCACTGTTGATCCATCCCACTGCTGGGTGCTCTGGGAAGGAGGGGGCTGGGTCTCTTGCCACACCACATGGCAGCGGGAGCTGAGGGAAGGGGACAGTCCCAGGCGGGCTGTGCTGTCCCTAGAGCAGAGCCAGCAGCCCAGTGCTGTTTCTGTCGAGCGGTGCCGTGCCAGGGGTGTTGTTGCAGCCCAGATGGAGCTGCTCTGAAATCACTCAGCCACCCGAGCCCTGGTGAACCCATGGTGCTTTCATCCCTCACATCCTGCAGCAGCAGCACGAAGTTGCCAAACCTTTTGGCAGGCAGTGGAACACACCCTCTAGAGGAGCCTGGCCGGGGGGGGTTTGTCTGAACTCCATGTTTGGGGGCACATGGCCCATCCCAGCACTCCGGGCTCCACCTCCAGCCCCATTTGTGGCACAGGCTGGCTCCCAGCGCACAAACAGCTGCAGGAACCCATGCAGGTGTTTCTGTAGCACCAGGGGTATAAGAGGCCATCCTGTCCCACCCAATGACCCTAATGCTGTTTGATTTTCCCCTCAGAGGACGGGATCGTGATCAAGACGGAGGAAGAGGAGGAGGAGGAGGAGGAGGAGGAGGAGGAGGAGGAGGAGGATGACCCCGACACGCTGGAGCAGTGCGCCATGTTCTCGGGCCGGAGCGAGGCGCCGGCGTTCCCCAGCCACGAGGCCGGGCTGGGCTGCGAGGCGCAGTGCAGCTCCAAGGCGCAGCCCCGCAGCCTGGCCCGCGTCAGGAAGCCGTCGGCCTGCGAGAGGGACTCCGGGGACATGAAGCCGGCCAGCGGGCAGCAGCGGAACCGGACGCGGGAGAGACCCTACATCTGCCCCGAGTGCGGCAAGAGCTTCATGCTCAAGATCAACTTCATGATCCACCAGCGCAACCACCTCAAGGAAGGGCCCTACGAGTGCCACGAGTGCGACCTCAGCTTCCGCAACAAGCAGCAGTTCCTGCTGCACCAGCGCAGCCACACGCGCCGCGGCGTGGGGGTCCCGCGGCGCCCCGAGCACGGCCTCAAGCCCCCGGCGCGGCCCCCGCCCCCGGGGAAGCCCTACAAGTGCTCCGAGTGCGAGAGCAGCTTCAGCCACAAGTCGAGCCTCAGCAAACACCAGATCACCCACGTCGGGGAGCGGCCCTTCACCTGCGGCGAGTGCCGGAGGAGCTTCCGCCTGCAGATCAGCCTGCTCATGCACCAGAGGATCCACGCGGGCAAGAACGAGATGGCCTTCCTGTGCCCCCAGTGCGGCAAGAACTTCACCCGGCCCTCCCACCTGCTGCGGCACCAGCGGACTCACACCGGCGAGCGGCCCTACCAGTGCAGCCAGTGCGAGAAGACCTTCAGCGAGAAGTCCAAGCTCACCAACCATTACCGCATCCACACGCGGGAGCGCCCGCACGCCTGCGCCGTCTGCGGGAAGGGCTTCATCCGCAAGCACCACCTCCTGGAGCACCAGCGCATCCACACGGGCGAGCGGCCCTACCACTGCACCGAGTGCGGCAAGAACTTCACGCAGAAGCATCACCTCCTGGAGCACCAGCGGGCGCACACCGGCGAGCGGCCCTACCCCTGCACCGAGTGCACCAAGTGCTTCCGCTACAAGCAGTCGCTCAAGTACCACCTGAGGACGCACATGGGAGAGTGAGGGGCTGCCGAGGCTTCCTCTCCCTCCCTCCCTCCCTCCCTCCCTCCGTTCCTCCCTTCCTCCTCGTCCTCCTTCTCCTCCACTGATCTCTCCCACCCTCCCTCCATCCATCTCCCCCCACCCCGGCTCAGGGCATGGACATCAAGGAAGCTTTGTGTGGTAGCGCCGCTGGTCTGGTGGAGACTCGGCTGATTGGAAATAAATTAATGAATTAAAGCAAGCAACGCGCGGCAAAATTAAAAGATGATATATATAAAAAATTAACAGAAGCAGCTGATTTAGGGGGAATCCTCACCAACAAGCAAACAAACCACCAACAAAAGAAACCTGTACACAGGGTGTTTTGCCAGAGTAGGACTCGTAACTGCTTTTTAAATCTACTGTTTGGTTTTTTTAATAAATGTGGAGGAACTTTTTATTTGATAAGCAACCTTAGGATGGGCAAGATTTTATTTTCGGGTTTGTTTTCTGTTTGTTTGTTTTGGTTTGGTTGTTTGTTTTTTTTTTTTGCTAACTGCTCTGTAGGCTGATTCTGGCACAGTCACTTTTTGTCCAGGAGCTCTGTGGAGGCGCTGCTCCGGTCCGGGCTGGATGTGATAGGAGGAGCTCCAGCCGGGGGGGATGTGAGTAATTAACAGATGCAGCTGATGAGGAAGTTCTGCGTGTGTCTAGATTGGAAGCGCTGATAGGTGCCTGCCCGGCTCGCGGGGCTGTGATGCACTCCTGAATTATACAATAGAATAAAATTCTAGTTGCAGTAAAAGACGCTTTTTCTGGTAGGACCCCTCCACAAGGCTCCCCCAAACATTCATTCCCAGCGCTCAATCCTCCCACCGGGGGCTGGCCCTGCTGCCCCCGAGGGCATGGGGTGCTGTGGGTCTGGCCGTTGCCTGCTGTGGGGCCAGCAGGGACTGAGAGCAAGACCTTGTTGTGTTTAACTGCTCTGCTGTCCTTGAGCCGCGGCCGGGGGTATCGACTGTGCCCTCCTCAATGGCAGGAGTGGCGGGATTCCTGTCCGGGGGAGGAGCAGCTCCAGGCTGGCTCCAAGGAAGGACCTCCCTGCTCCTGAGCACCTGCTGCCAGGGTGGGTGGGACACGATCCATCTCCCTGCTCCTGGTCTGCACTCCTGTTTGTACCAGCTCGGTTCCTGGGGATCCCAGCTCGTCCTGGCTGCAGCTCCTGAGTTTGGGCTGTGGCTGGGTGAGAGCCATCTGAAGGGCTGGGTTGGGGCCACACTGGTGACACCAGCTGAGGCTGGGCTGGTGACACCAGCTCCCCGGAGCACGCCGGGCTCCTTCCTGGTGCTGTCAGATCTCATGTTGGACAGTGGCATCAATAAACAGACGATGGGAGAAATTGTCAGGACCTGTTAAAGCCTTTGCAGAACCAAAGTCCTAATCCAGGACCTGGTGTATGAACCCCTCCTAAGTTGGGATTTACGACCTCTAACGGTGCTAGAATGTGCCAGAGGGCAGCGCAGCCACATGGAGCAGCTGAGAGCCACCAGCTGCTCATTGCTGTGGGTGGCAGCATTTTGGGGCTGCCTGTGCAGGTCCCTGCCAGGGTTCCTGCCTTCCCACTGCTGGCGTGGTGCCTGCAACTCCCTGGAAGAACTTTGGGGTTTTGGGTCAGGGCGTGCTGAATGACAGGAGTTGACACTTCCATCTCTGGAAGTTGGCCAGGCTGGATGAGGCTTTGAGCACCCTGGGATAGTGGAAGGTGTTCCTGCCCCCTTCCAGGGAGGTGGAAGAAGATGAGCTTGGAGGTCCCTTCCCACCCAAAGCATTCTGGGATTCCATGAAAAGTGCTGTGGTGGGGCTGATGTCCTGGCAGGGAGGTGTGGGGGCAGGACAGGAGGGCCTGGCTGCAGCCCTGTGTCCCTCAGCAGCCTCCCTGCATCCCCCTCACCAGGTCTGGATGTAGCTATGGGGAAGGAGGAAATGAAAAGCAGAAGTGATTCTGGTTCTCTGTGGCTCATGTCCGTCACACTGGCAGTGTCACTGACCTGGCCGAATCCTTTTTTCTTCCTAAAAATGGATGAATTCAGCTTTTTATTGGATGGAGGCGGGAGCCCTGGTGGCCGGAGCAGCCGGGCCTTGGGGGGATTTCGGGCGAGCAGGCCGGGGCCGGCAGCGCAGGGAGGCAGCGCAGGATCACCCTGGGCTCCCTCAGGGCGCCGCTGCCGCCCCGACCCAATCCCTTCAAAGCGCACTAAGCCCGCCCCGCTGGCCGGGAGCGGCTCCGGCCACAGCCGGGCCTCGGCAAGGATCGCGGGGCCCGGCCTGGGGAAGGGGCTCCCGCTCCCAGCTCCGACCCGCCATAGGGGCCGGGCCGGGCCGAAGCTCCCAGCCCCTGGCAGGTTATTAACGATTCAACTGATTTAAGCATCCCCAGCATGCGCGGGCCCTGGCAGAACCGTACTGGCTGCGCCCCGGGGGAAGGCTGGGATGAAGGCTCACACTCACACTCACACTTACCCTCACGCTCACACTTGCACTGACACTTACACTCACATTGACACTCTCACTCATGCTCATGCTCACACTCACACTCTCTCTCACACTCACGCCAGCCCTCACTTTGCGCAGCCGCTGCTGCATCCCCGCTGCCGTGGGCTGCAGACACGGGCACACGCAGCGCACACTGCGGCCCCGTGCCCGTGTCCCCCCGGGGTTTTCCTGCTCCTTCCTCCCCAGCTTGCACACACGCACTTGGATATGGACACGCGTGTGAATAATGTGAGATCCAGGCATAGGAATCTGCCCAGGGAGAGACGGGGACACTCCCAGGCACACACAGAGACACAGAGGCACATACAGACACACTTGCAGTGGCATGGATGTGCACAAGGTGCGACATTCCACATGTGTGTGCAATGACAGGGATGCGCACACGCCCGGACACACTCACACACACACTCACAAACACACACTCGCATCCCAGAGCCCATTGCCGGCCCCCAGCCCAGCCCAGCCCGTTCCCGTCGTGCCCAGGCCCTCCCCCGCCGCGGTCGAGGGTGGGGCCCCTTCCGTCCGTTCCCGTCCGTCGCGGCCATGGCTGAGGAGGTGCTGGCCCTGCGAGAGCAGCTGGTGGCCGAGGCCACTTGCCCGTTGTGCCTGGATGTGTTCGAGCAGCCCGTGCTGACGGCGTGCGGGCACAGCTTCTGCGGGACGTGCCTGGCGGGCGTGCTGGGGGACCAGCCGCGCCCCGCCGCCTGCCCGCAGTGCCGCGCCCCGCTGGAGCCGGGCTCGCAGCGCCCCAACCGCTCCCTGGGCAACATGGCCGGGCTGGCCCGGGCCCTGGAGGAGGTGGCGGCGCGGCCGCGGTGCCCCCAGCACGGCAAGGCCCTGGCGCTGTTCTGCGAGCCCTGCGCCGCCCTGCTCTGCGCGCCCTGCCGGGACGGGCCCGAGCACCGCCGGCACCGTGTCCGCCCCGCCGAAGAGGCCGCCCGGAAGCTGCGGGTACGGGGCGGCGCCGCGAGAGGGGCCGGGGGCTTGGCCAGGGGCTCGGGGGCCTTGGCTGCCCGGAGTGGGGCGGCCGAGGGGCACAGCTCAGGGTCCCCTCCGGCCACAGGCGGGGATCCCCTGCAGCAGGGGCTGGGCTCCCTCGGGGACAGGCTGGGGTCCCCTGTGGGCACAGGTCCGCGTCCTGTCCGGGCACACATCTGGGCTCCCTTCAAGGACAGTCTGGGCTCTGCTCTGGGCATGAGCTCCTCTGGCTGTGGCTCTGGGTCTGCTCTGAGCAGGGTCTGGGCTTCCCTCAGGGCGCGGCTCTGCTTCCCCTCCACACACAGCTTCGGCCGTGTCCCCGGCCAGCCACGGATCTGGGGCCTCAGCCGGCTGCTGCCCGGGCTCCCTGCCTGGCTGCCAGCTTGGGCTGCTGTACCCCACCCTGCTGGGGCTGCTGCTTCTGCCACCGCCTGGCCCCAGCCCACGCAGGAGCCCAGGTCCCTCTCCCTGCTCACCCCTCTGGGTCCCCACATGGTCCCTTGTGCCCCACATGTCCCCAGCCAGGCTTTCTCCCCACAGCGTGGGCTGGGGTCTCGGCTCACTGCAATGCAGGAGATGCCTCAGAGCAGGAGGAGTTTGTTAATACTCCAGGAAATTGATGGGGCCTGTCTGAGTCCCTGCTACTGTCACTGCAAACCTCTTCCCAGAAATCACATTTTCTATGTTGAGAGTTATTTTTTTCTAATTCAAAATCCATTTAAAAAGCCACAAACTCCAGGGTTTCTACTCGTATTGACTGGAAGTCCAATGAAGTTATTCCAGCAATGTTTCTGGCCATAAGAGCTGTGGATGGGGATGTCCCCAGGCTGAGTTTGGAGAGTTGCGTGGTGTCTCTGAGCGCAAAACTCACTCCCAGACACTCAGGGGTCACCCCCAGTGACTCCCCAGACTGGGTTTGTCCACACAGGGGTTGTTTGGCAACATCATCTCCCTGCTGTGAATGTCATTACAAAATTAACAGAAATGCCATTTGTTTAATCCCTGCCCCAGGAGACACTCCAGAGAAACCTGCTATTTCTACAAAAGCAGAAGGAAAAATTGAAGAGCACAGGAGACGGGAAAATTGAAGACCTGCAGGTGTGTGTTCCTCTCCATGCCCCCCAGTGCTCACCCATGTGGCTCCCCAGGAATGTCCCATCTTTCCCTCTCCCCATATATACTTATCTCCTAATCCATGCCAACATTCTTTTCTCTGTCCATCTCATGTGGCCTCCTTGGGCCCATCAACATCCAGACTTGCCCCCCCTGTCTCTGTTCTTCCTGCTGTTTCTGTTCCAAACTTCTGGTGCCGTTGTGTGTGATCCTGGCCCCCTCTGTGCAGCAGCCGTGTCCCTGCAGGGGCAGCCGGAGCCTGGCTGGGCTCAGGGCCTCCGTGCGGTGCCTTGCAGGTGACAGTGATGTGGGAGTTGCAGCGTGTGACTGAGAGCTTTGAGGAGCTGCAGCAGTGCCTGGAGGAGCAGAAGAAGGCCCTGCTGGGCCAGCTGGAGCAGATGTCCCAGGAGCTGGTGAATAAGAGCGAGGAATACACGTCCAGGGTCTTGGAGAGGCAGTCGCTGCTGGACACGGTGATAGCGCAGATCCAGGAGAAGCGGGACCAGCCGGGGGTCGAGTTCCTCCAGGTGAGGCAGCATCAGCCCCTGGGCACTGTGACCCCTGCTGGGGCTGGGGACACCCAGCTGGCACCCTCTGCATCCTGGTGCAGGCTGGGGCCATGGTGGGACACTGTGCTGTGACACTGTGACACTGTACTGTGACACTGTGACACTGTGACACTGTGACACCATGCTGTGACACTGTGCTGTGACACTGTGACACCGTGCTGTGACACCGTGCTGTGACACTGTGCTGTGACACTGTGCCGTGACACTGTGACACCGTGCTGTGACACCGTGCTGTGACACCGTGCTGTGACACTGTGCTGTGACACTGTGCTGTGACACTGTGCTGTGCCTGCTGTGGGTCAGGGCCCTGAGGGAAGGGAGGGTTAGGATGAGGTGTGGGCTCAGCCCCAGCCCCTTCAGCTGCTTCACACAGCTGGGCAGCCACTGCAGCTCCCTGGCCCTCGGCAGGGCCACAGCTCTCCTGTGTTTTCTCTCTTGCAGGATGTTGGCAGAATCCTGAGCAGGTATGAAACAGGCTCGGTGTCCCTCTCCTCCTGCTCAGCTCCTTTGGGCAGAGCTTTGGGAGCGCTGCAGGAGCTGGCACGGAGGTGGTTTGCCCCGCTGGGGATTTGGGATTTCATGGGATGTTTCCAGGAACCAGAGGCCGTTGCACCCCTCCTAAAGATGGGGTTGCTGTGCTGAGAGCAGGGACACGGCTGCCCTGGGCTCTGTGGCCGCAGGGATTTCCCTGTTTCCCTGCTGGCCCTGGCTGGTGGCTGGGCTCTGAGCTCCTCTCCCTGTTCCCCTCAGCTGTGAGGCAGCCAAGGCCCCGATCCCAGAGCCAGTTTCCCCAGAGCTGCAGAAGAGCATTCAGAGCCTCACTTGGAGGAGCCAGCAGGTCGTGGACATGGTGGATAAATTCAGAGGTAAAGCCCTGCTGGCTCTGTGCTGTGCTTCCCCTGGGCTTGGCTAGCAGGGGGAAATCCTCACTGCCTGGTGCCTCTGCCTGGGGCTCAGGAGCAAAACGGCTGCTCCAGATGGGAACCATCCCCAGGATGGGCTTTGCTGGAGCCTGGGGCTCCACATCTGGGTTGCTGCCCTGATGGGGAGCAGGACAGGTGCCACAGGAGAGACACTCATGCATCTTCCTTGCCTTCTTCCAGAGAACCTGGAGAGCAAGATAGACTCTGGCATAAGGGGTAAGTGTGTGGAGCTGCTGAGCACAACTGAGGGGGAAAAGCTTTCCAGGATGAGTGTCCTCATGTCCTTGGTGCTGAGATGAGCTCACAGCACATCTAAACCCAGCATCTGTCTAGAGCTGAGTCCTGTTGTTGTGACTAGGCCTGCAATAAAAACCCAGGTCTGTCCTTGTGCCAGGCAGCACCAGGGATGCTGTCCTGCGATGCCAGGCCAGGGCCAGGACAGCAGGAGGCCGTGTCAGGCTGTGCCCAGTTAAGCAGAGGGGCTGTACATGATTTTAGGTGGTATTTTGGTGTGATCAGAAGTGCTTCTGCAGGTGCTCAGGGCCCACATGGTGCAGCATTGCTGGGCTGAGGTGTGGCTGGCACCATTTGTGCTGAGGCCGCTCTCCACACTCTCCGTTTTTGGGATGATGCACTTGAGCACAGGAGAGTCGTGCCTCAGTTTCCCCCCTGCAGTCCCCGCAGGAGTGGGTTTGGCAGAGGCTCTGGGCTGGTGGCACCGCACAGTGACAGCTGTGTGGCCCTGTGGGATGGCCACGGGATGGCAGCAGAACATGCCTGGTGGATGGGCAGCTCGGGCTCTGCAGCTCGGTTGCCTGCTGGCTGGGCAGAGCAGGGCTCCGAGCTGGGTGAGCCCTTGGCACAGGAGCAGGGACTGGCCTGGCCCCTCCTGCCCTGCAGCACTGCCTGCTCACAGCCACGGCATGCACTGCTCCCCACAGGCTGCAATATGCAGCACATCTGGGAGCAGCTTTAGCAAAGCCCATTGTGTCTGTGCCCTGCCTGTGGGGACACTGCCTGCCTCAGTCCTGCCTCAGGGAGCATCTTTTCACCCTCGGCTGCCAGCGTGGGGACAGTGAGGCTGCCGTGTCCCATGCCACCCGAGGGGGCTGCAGGAGTGCCCCTTGTGCTCCCAGGACAGGTCCCAGCCCCGTGGTGCAGGGTGGAGGAGAGGTGCTGGTTCTCTTCTCAGCAGGCACTGACTGATGTTTCTGTCACCCTTTAGAGCGGGTGCGGCTGGACCCAGAGACGGCGAATGCCTACCTGATCCTCTCGCGGGACTGCAAAAGGGTCTGGTTCAAACCTCAAGAACAAAACCTCCCTGACAACCCCAAGAGGTTCACGGGCAGCTTCAGTGTCTTGGGCAACCAGGGGTTCACATCTGGGAGGCATTACTGGGAGGTGGAGGTCGGGGAAGAGGGCAGGTGGGCTGTGGGGCTGGCCCCAGAGTCCGTGCCGAGGAAGGAGCTGCTCAAACTGCTCAGATCTGAGAAGCTCTGGGGGCTGCTAATGGACTGGGATGGACAGTACAGTTCAATCTGCATGACCTCTGAGGTGCTGGCACTCAGGGAAAACCTCCAGAGAATCAGGGTCTGCCTGGACTATGAAATGGGCCGAGTGACTTTCTACAACGCAAAGGACCTGACGCAGATCTTGCTGTTGGAGGCCACCTTCACTGAGAAAGTCTTCCCATATTTTTGGATCTGCTCACAAGAAACCCACATCCAGGTGTGTGACTGACAGAGTGGGATGGCTGCTGGGCCCCTGCCCGTGCCCTTGGCTGGCTGAGCAGGGAGGAGCTGTGGGAATGACGGCATCACAGTGCAGCCTCACTGCAGCTCTGCCTGGGCTGGACCCTCTCTGCAATTTTCTGCATCTCCTCCCGCTCAGTCCTTTGGAGCATTAAAGAAGTGCTGTCCTGCCTGGGGCTGTCTGCGTGCTGCTATCCTGCCTAGATGCCATGGGGATGGTGTCCTACCTCTCCCTGTGGGCACTGAGGCCACAGAAGAATGGGGAGGGAGGAGGGAAGAGGCTCTGATTGTCCGTGCTGGCCTTTGGCAGCACTGCAGGGCTGGTGGCAGCTGGGCTGGGCTGGGCTGGGCTGGGCTGGGCTGGACTGGGCTGGAGGATGCAGCCACCCCGCACTCAGGAAGCCAGGCTGGAGCCATGAGCTGACAATGATGCCTTGCATTTTAGCATCCATATTTTTTGGATTCTGTGCTGCTTTGGTGTGTAGCTCTGAGCTTCATTGTTAGCAAGGTCTTTTCACGGGGTAGGTAGACAAAACAATCCTGTTCTACCTTGAGGCCAAGGATACAAAATCCAGGCCCAAAAACTATAAACAATGGTGAACTGAAGAGAGAGCAACAAGGAGGATGGGACTTCATAACCTAAAGCTTTAATTGGACAGTTAACTCCACTATTGAAATGGAGCAACTTATAAAAGCACGAGACCACCACACTTTTAAAAGTGTGAGTGCTCGTCCATTTTGTGACCACTTTGGGCCCATCTTGGGTGTAGCCCTGGCTGGGCTTTTCCGCTGCCTAAGATGAATCCATGGAGACCTTGTAATAAATCCCTGCTCTACCCTTTGAGAGCCACCAGGTGCTCATTGCTGTGGGTGGCAGCATTTTGGGGCTGCCTGTGAGGGCCCTGCCAGGGTTCCTCCTTCCCACTGCTGGCGTGGTGCCTGCAACTCCCTGGAAGAACTTTGGGGTTTCGGGTCAGGGCGTGCTGAATGACAGGAGTTGACACTTCCATCTCTGGAAGTTGGCCAGGCTGGATGAGGCTTTGAGCACCCTGGGATAGTGGAAGGTGTTCCTGCCCCCTTCCAGGGAGGCGGAAGAAGATGAGCTTGGAGGTCCCTTCCCACCCAAAGCATTCTGGGATTCCATGAAAAGTGCTGTGGTGGGGCTGATGTCCTGGCAGGGAGGTGTGGGGGCAGGACAGGAGGGCCTGGCTGCAGCCCTGTGTCCCTCAGCAGCCTCCCTGCATCCCCCTCACCAGGTCTGGATGTAGCTATGGGGAAGGAGGAAATGAAAAGCAGAAGTGATTCTGGTTCTCTGTGGCTCGTGTCCGTCACACCGGCAGTGTCACTGACCTGGCCGAATCCTTTTTTCTTCCTAAAAATGGATGAATTCAGCTTTTTATTGGATGGAGGCGGGAGCCCTCGTGGCCGGAGCAGCCGGGCCTTGGGGGGGATTTCGGGCGAGCAGGCCGGGGCCGGCAGCGCAGGGAGGCAGCGCAGGATCACCCTGGGCTCCCTCAGGGCGCCGCTGCCGCCCCGACCCAATCCCTTCAAAGCGCACTAAGCCCGCCCCGCTGGCCGGGAGCGGCTCCGGCCACAGCCGGGCCTCGGCAAGGATCGCAGTGTGTCCTGGTTTAGGGCAATTTTGGGAGAAAAACCTTTAAAGGCTTTTCCTCTGGAAAGCAAATTCAAGCGGCCCCTCCCTCAACTGGTTCAGAAAAAAGATTTCCTTGGTGAAAAGTTGAAAAAAATGGTTGTTTAAGGAGCAAAGAATTCATCAGCACAACAAAGGAGCCATATTCAACAATAAAATCTCTTGCTGCTCCAAAAGAGATGACAAACTCAGAAAGTCCCCATCTTCAGCTGTAGCTTGGCACACTTAATCTCTTATCAGTCCCTCTGGTGCTGGAAATGCTGTGGCCAGGCCTGGTCTGATGGGCCACAGGTGTGAGCTGCCGGTGCTCTTCTGGGTGCAGAACAGGTTTAAACAGCTCCAAAGAAAAAGGAAAAAAAAAATCCACAGTCCAGAGATCTTCTCTGCCTCAGCCAGCTAAAAGTAACTAAGAGCAAAGGAGAGCTCTGTCCTGCTGCCTGTCCCTGATGAGGACAGCACCGAACCGCAGCAGGAATGTGCAGAAGGAGGGAGCGCTATTTTTCTGAAAACAAACTCTGCGCTTCTTCTTCTGACCGCCCTCTTCGCCCTCAGAACCAATCCTAAACGTGCAAAATTTATTTCTGAGCGACACAGACGAAGAGGGATATGAGCATAAAAGTCACCTCAGGACACAGTGCAAGGCCTGGAGGTGGGATTGCTGCTAGGCAGTGCCGAGCCGCCGCCAAGGCCGAGACAGGCTGGACACGTTCCACCTTATTGATGATTATAGAAATTTAAACATTAACCGGGCCATGGCAGCGCTACTCCCGGAGCAAGCCGCGCCTGCCGTACCGTGCGGACTCTGCCCCGGGACAAGGCCCCGACCCGGCCCCGCCTCGGCACCTTCCCGTCCGTTCCCGTCCGTCGCGGCCATGGCTGAGGAGGTGCTGGCCCTGCGAGAGCAGCTGGTGGCCGAGGCCATTTGCCCGTTGTGCCTGGATGTGTTCGAGCAGCCCGTGCTGACGGCGTGCGGGCACAGCTTCTGCGGGACGTGCCTGGCGGGCGTGCTGGGGGACCCGCCGCGCCCCGCCGCCTGCCCGCAGTGCCGCGCCCCGCTGGAGCCGGGCTCGCAGCGCCCCAACCGCTCCCTGGGCAACGTGGCCGGGCTGGCCCGGGCCCTGGAGGAGGTGGCGGCGCGGCCGCGGTGCCCCCAGCACGGCAAGGCCCTGGCGCTGTTCTGCGAGCCCTGCGCCGCCCTGCTCTGCGCGCCCTGCCGGGACGGGCCCGAGCACCGCCGGCACCGTGTCCGCCCCGCCGAAGAGGCCGCCCGGGAGCTGCGGGTACGGGGCGGCGCCGCGAGAGGGGCCTGGGGCTTGGGCAGGGCCTGGGGGCCTTGGCTGCCCGGGGTGGGGCGGCCGAGGGGCACAGCTCAGGGTCCCCTCCGGCCACAGGCGGGGATCCCCTGCAGCAGGGGCTGGGCTCCCTCGGGGACAGGCTGGGGTCCCCTGTGGGCACAGGTCCGCGTCCTGTCCGGGCACACATCTGGGCTCCCTTCAAGGGCAGTCTGGGCTCTGCTCTGGGCATGAGCTCCTCTGGCTGTGGCTCTGGGTCTGCTCTGAGCAGGGTCTGGGCTTCCCTCAGGGCGCGGCTCTGCTTCCCCTCCACACACAGCTTCGGCCGTGTCCCCGGCCAGCCACGGATCTGGGGCCTCAGCCGGCTGCTGCCCGGGCTCCCTGTCTGGCTGCCAGCTTGGGCTGCTGTACCCCACCCTGCTGGGGCTGCTGCTTCTGCCACCGCCTGGCCCCAGCCCACGCAGGAGCCCAGGTCCCTCTCCCTGCTCACCCCTCTGGGTCCCCACATGGTCCCTTGTGCCCCACATGTCCCCAGCCAGGCTTTCTCCCCACAGCGTGGGCTGGGGTCTCGGCTCACTGCAACGCAGGAGATGCCTCAGAGCAGGAGGAGTTTGTTAATACTCCAGGAAATTGATGGGGCCTGTCTGAGTCCCTGCTACTGTCACTGCAAACCTCTTCCCAGAAATCACACTTCCAATGTCGAGAGTTGTTTTTTTAATTAAAAAAACCATTTAAATAAATACAAAATGCAGGGTCTCCACTGGCATGGAGTGGAACTCCAATGAAGTTATTCCAGCAATGTTTCTGGCCATAAGAGCTGTGGATGGGGATCTCCCCAGGCTGAGTTTGGAGAGTTGCGTGGTGTCTCTGAGCGCAAAACTCACTCCCAGACACACAGGGGTCACCCCCAGTGACTCCCCAGACTGGGTTTGTCCGCACAGGGGTTGTTTGGCAACATCATCTCCCTGCTGTGAATGTCATTCCAAAATTAACAGAAATGCCATTTGTTTAATCCCTGCCCCAGGAGACACTCCAGAGAAACCTGCTATTTCTACAAAAGCAGAAGGAAAAATTGAAGAGCACAGGAGACGGGAAAATTGAAGACCTGCAGGTGTGTGTTCATCTCCATGCCCCCCAGTGCTCACCCATGTGGCTCCCCAGGAATGTCCCATCTTTCCCTCTCCCCATATATACTTATCTCCTAATCCATGCCAACATTCTTTTCTCTGTCCATCTCATGTGGCCTCCTTGGGCCCATCAACATCCAGACTTGCCCCCCCTGTCTCTGTTCTTCCTGCTGTTTCTGTTCCAAACTTCTGGTGCCGTTGTGTGTGATCCTGGCCCCCTCTGTGCAGCAGCCGTGTCCCTGCAGGGGCAGCCGGAGCCTGGCTGGGCTCAGGGCCTCCGTGCGGTGCCTTGCAGGTGACAGTGATGTGGGAGTTGCAGCGTGTGACTGAGAGCTTTGAGGAGCTGCAGCAGTGCCTGGAGGAGCAGAAGAAGGCCCTGCTGGGCCAGCTGGAGCAGATGTCCCAGGAGCTGGTGAATAAGAGCGAGGAATACACGTCCAGGGTCTTGGAGAGGCAGTCGCTGCTGGACACGGTGATAGCGCAGATCCAGGAGAAGCGGGACCAGCCGGGGGTCGAGTTCCTCCAGGTGAGGCAGCATCAGCCCCTGGGCACTGTGACCCCTGCTGGGGCTGGGGAAACCCAGCTGGCACCCTCTGCATCCTGGTGCAGGCTGGGGCCATGGTGGGACACCGTGCTGTGACACTGTGACACTGTGCTGTGACACCGTGCCGTGACACTGTGCTGTGACACTGTGACACCATGCTGTGACACCGTGCTCTGACACCGTGCTGTGACACCGTGCTGTGACACTGTGACACCATGCTGTGACACTGTGACCCTGTGACACTGTGACACTGTGCTGTGACACTGTGCTGTGACACTGTGATGTGACACTGTGACACTGTGACACTGTGCTGTGCCTGCTGTGGGTCAGGTCCCTGAGGGAAGGGAGGGTTGGGATGAGGTGTGGGCTCAGCCCCAGCCCCTTCAGCTGCTTCACGCAGCTGGGCAGCCACTGCAGCTCCCTGACCCTCGGCAGGGCCACAGCTCTCCTGTGTTTTCTCTCTTGCAGGATGTTGGCAGAATCCTGAGCAGGTATGAAACAGGCTCGGTGTCCCTCTCCTCCTGCTCAGCTCCTTTGGGCAGAGCTTTGGGAGCGCTGCAGG